AAATGGGTTACTCACATTGTACCCATGTGGGGAATCGAACCCAGGTCTTCAGCGTGACGAGCCGACACTTTAACCACTAGGCTACCCCACCGCCCCTCGTGTCTGTTACACGACAGCAGTGAAATATCGGATATTAAGGGAACCTTGGCATGCCAGATGTATAATGCTTATTCCCAAAACAGGATACTGAGGGAGCCTTGGCAAGCATGACATATAATGTTTATTCCCAATAAGGATATTTATCATCCCAAAATACATAACCGTGATAATCTCTTATTCATATAATGTGATTGTAATTTTTGTCCTCTATAAACCTCTATAGCCCGGTCTGCATGAACATACTTTCGAATCTCATCTCAAGTCGCCGGCGGAGTTGCCTGCCTTACACTTGCCTGTATCTGCATGAACATACTTTCGAATCCAATATTCGTCCGGATCTCAAAAGCTCGTACTCTCCAGCATTTTTCTTTCACTCGGATTACTTTACTAAGTATGCAATATGACGTTTACCCTGCCTCTTATTTTTCTATAATTCTGTACTGGGACGCCCTGCAAGTATTTCTTAATGTCAGGGCACTCACAGCCTTCACGAGCGTATACGCTGATCTACTTCAGTTTGTTTTCATAGTTGTTTTAAAGATCCAAAGACATTAAAACTGACACGTTATATTTACACTTGAAACACCCCTTAGTCATGGGAGGGACTGCCTGACTGGGACTGAAATGTCAATAGATATGTTTTCTGCATTGTTGCAATCACCAGGTATTGCAGGTACTGTTAGTCAGGCGATAGGCATAAAACTGTAATGAACTCGAGAGGATATTCACATAAGACGAACCATTTCGATGTAATTGAAAGGACACCAGTGTCTTGTAGAAATCTTATTTCAGTCATCATATATTTTTATTTTTGCGCAGTTTCGCCCGTTAATAGCATCGTGCACAAGTCAAACCAGTCGAGATTATAGGTTTTAATTAGCATATTTTGAATCTGCGAAAAAAAAGCACATCCATATTCTGATGCCTTTGAGGATGGGTTGTAGTTTGAGTAGCTACCGCCCCCCTGCGTATTCTCCTAAATCGTTCACTAATTCTTATTACTCACATAAGAGTCTGACGCTAGATACAACAGCTACATAGGAACATTGTTCTTTTAATTCTTGAGAATAATACATAGTTCTCGATTTAAGTAGGGGCGGTGGGGTACCCTAGTGGTTAAAATCTGGGGAAACTCACTCGCTCGCTAACTCGATTTAACTTGTCACGTTTCCCTTTCCTAAAGACCATGGGGTCTGTAAGTCCCAAAACATTCGAAGTAAATTAAAACGTTCCACTTTTTAAATCGTAGAATACCTGTTCTTTTAATGTATGGCTAGATCTGCTAAATTGCTAACGGCTGAAGGGATGGTGTAAATCCAGCTAGGGTCCATGCAGGAAGCAAATGTACTGTAAGTCCCCATGGTCCCTAGTATGGTGATCTACCTTCAGTTGTTGGCAATCTATAGCCGGTTTTTATATTGTATTGTCATTTGAAAGTAACATATTTTAGATTTAATTACTAGTCTTAAATTTTTCCCTGTGATAATCTAGTTGTTTCACTGTCCTTCATCGACGGGTGTTTTATAATGTAATTGTGTTTATTGTTAATTTATAACTTTTTAAGTCACAATATGGCTGAAATATTGCCGATGTGACTATAAATTTGAACTCACTCACTCACTAAAGACCATGTCGGTTTTGCCTTAAATACTAGATCACCTACTCATACCGAACTGCATGTGCCTTGTACTTATAAAAAGTATAACAAATATTAAAACACAATGAGAATTATGGCATGTGAGTTAACGCTGAATGCTACAAATCTATCGGGGTCTCTTTCCTCCACGTTGTCACACTTTCAGAAGGAACCCATTAACTGCAGTGAGGTGAAATTGAGTATTGCTTAGCGTTTAAGATTATCGCCTCTTATATAGTGGCTTTGTACATTTGTCTGCTTGTACTAATACAGACGCATGCTAGTTTTATACTGCAAACCCACTGCGATACATTTTAACATGAAGTCGTTTTACGCCAACATGGTGACGGGTTATTGGATCGGGGTCGACCAGTTAAGCAGGTCAACTGCAAATACCATTTATACAAAATTATGTTAACCTATTTTGGCATGAACCGGTACGGGGATCGAATCATCGACCACAAGCTCTGTCCACTGCACCACGTTGGCGATTTTGACTAGCCTTTGCATGTGTTTTTGACGAATGCCACCGGTGGAGCAGAACACGCTCACCTTTTCGCGAACGCCATGGTGCCGCTGTACAAAGCGATCTTAGCGCTAAGGTGACCGTAACACCCATACCTTAAAAATACAGGATGTGCTTAATTAATTTCTTTGTGTATGTGGTTTCATGGTGTGTTGTTTTGTATATATGTAATTGTAAGTGGTAATTGTAATACATTGGTCCCTCCAGTTTTATCTGTTCCGGTCCCTGTCTGGCGCTCGGCATTAATGGGTACAACAAGGACTGGTCGGCTCGGAGTCAGTATAATGTGTCTGAGTGGGGTATTCATGCTTCACTGGGGCATGGTATTTCAGTGGGCTAGCACTATAAAACCAGCTTAAGTCTGGGCTAGTACAAGCAGCCGCACATACACATACACACGCGTGCACGTCGTCATATGAGCGAAGTATTCTCAAGCACGACGATAAACCCAATTTCACCTCACCTCACCTTTATCTGTTCCAGACAACAGCTGGATTCACTGTACATCATAATTAGTTGTAAACAAGCTGCTGCAAGATTATCGGCAGACCGAAACCAATAACATGTCAATTGTGCTTATCAAACGCGAATGCCTCCCTGCTCACTGCTATCAGATCAGAGATGACGATTTCATCTTTAGCCAGGTTTAAGCTAGGTGCCTCGGTGCATTATACCAACTAACTAGTATTATCAATATGTGCCACGTCTCACAAGTAATCCTGGGGCGGTGGGGTAGCCTAGTGGTTAAAGCGTTGGCTTGTCCCGCCGCAGACCCGGGTTCGATTCCCCACATGGGTACAATGTGTGAAGCCCATTTCTGGTGTCCCCAGCAATCTCACAAGTAACCCTAGCGCCAAGACGATCGAAACCCACATGCTTTAACATACCCATCTGGCAGTCGTAGCCCAAAGATCGCTTTGTGGGACGGGGCACAGGGACAGCGTGATTATTATATCTCTCTGTATTACGCAAACGTAAATACAAATCGTCAGAGAGCCATACACCGACACTCTAGTATGAGAAACTTTGACTGAGCCGCAGTAATGTCGTTGGTTAGTTTGTTGTTGTACAGGCCACTGCCATATAGCTGCAATATTCCAGCTATATGGCAGCGGCCTGTACATAATCGAGTCTGGAACAGACAATCCAGTGATGAACTTCATGCTTATCGATCTACGCAACTGGGAAACGATGACATGTGTCAACAAAGTCAGCGAGCCTTACCACCCGATCCCATTAGTTGCCTCTTACGACAAGCATGGGTTACTGAACATCATTTCTAACCCGCATCTTCACGGGTCTGCAGCAATGTCACAGGTGAGGTGAAATGGGGTTTAACGTCGTACTTAAGAATATTTCGCTCATATGACGACGTGCATGCGTGAATATGTGTGGCTGCTTGTACTAGCCCAGACTTAGTCTGGTGTTATAGTGCTAGCTCACTGAGATACCTTGCCGCAGTCAAGCATGAATACCCCACTCAGACACATTATAATGACCTCGAGCCGACCAGTCCTTGTTTTACCCATTAATGCCGAGCGCCAGGCAGGGACCAACAAGTACCATATTTTAACGTCTTTTAGTATGATGCGGCCGGGGGTCGAACCCGCGACCTTCTGCTCTCCGGACGGACGCTCAACCACTACACCACGGAGGCCGTCAGCAATGTCACAAGCGACTCTAAGCACAGTTAACATGTAGGATCATGAATAAGCTGGTCTAGATTTAGGTCGTCTGTCTAATAGGATATCCACTTCCAAACATGGGCCCAACTTAATGTGACAAACCATTTGTCTACTGAACTTTTAAATGGAAAACCGTATTTACTACTTTGTTGTTGCAACAAAATATATTTCTTTAGTTTTCTTGTGAGAAACTGTGCCTATTCTGACTTGTGATAGATTAATAACAAAATGGAACATGTTAATCGCAAAAGCTAATAACCTGCATGTTTTTAGTCTGTAGGCAATATACATACAAAAAAGCATACAATCCCAAATTGAATCGGGTAGGTTTATCTAGAGATCGGTAGCTAATTGTGAAACTAGATTGTGATATTAGCAAATGACCACACATTAACTAACAATCACAACATTATCTGAAAACACAAAGGTTGTGTGTTACAATCACATAAGGCAATACAGTGGGTTAAGCGAGTGATACTATTAGTCAGAATATGTTGCAGCAATGTGCAGTATTCGGAAATATTTTCACACTTGAATGAAGCACAAATCCAGTGTTGGAAACAGGTGGAAAAGTCGTAGTTTCCATTAGATATCCCGCGATACTGTTGTACCAACAGATATACCCAAGTCTGGGCATACAGGGAAGGCCTGGAATCTGCCTCATCTTGCACTTTGAGGCATATGTCCAGTCTTTTCCCGAGTTTTCTACATCAAGAACCAGATAATCATTTGAATGAACAATTGTAAAATGGCAGTAGACAAACACCTTACTCTACATATATGACACGTTATTATGGTTAACTAACAACTTCATTTTAATTCACCTGATGAAAGAATAACAATTAGCTCTAAAACGTATAAAGAACAAAAGAAGTTGTTATCCATAAAAAAACGTGTCATATATTCATGTCTTCCAACGTGTAAATGCCTTTCAAGAACCCCACAAAGGGTCTCTTGGAACAGTTGGATTCGTTCCATATCAAGTTCACGACCAAGTTTAACATTATAAGAACACTTCTATCAACTTGCACCTTGCGATCATCACAAATGACGCCTGTAAAGAAGAAGTAGACAAAACACCTCACAGTGGATGTCGTTAAACCATTGGGATTAATTCCATATCGAAGTCAATATACCAAGAACAATTAAAAACCCTGCACCTTACTATCATCACAAATGACACCTGCAAGTGAGTAGTAGATAAACACCTCAAAGTGGATGTCGTTAAACCATTGGGATTCATTCCATGTCAAAGTCAAAATCAAACTCAACATTATAAGAACGCTTCAGTCAACTGCATCTCATTGCCATCAGACATAAAGCTGCTCCATACAACATGACAGTCCCTATCACACACAGAGGACGATACAAAGTGTTGCTATCACCATGAGTAGATTGCTGAACTTCTTGATGCTCTGCCCATTTGTTCCAGTCTCTGCACTTGTGAATATATTTTTATCATGAAAACTTATACCTCTGGTAAATGTCAATTTGCGGACCAAAATGAGGTCAACCTTTGAATATTTTCCTTCGTTCAGCCCCTTGAAAATCACCTTTGCCAGAAATGTATCATTACCAGGTCGCGAAAGGAGTCTGAAGGAGCCAAAGAGATCAAGTTTGAATGTACTTTCATCCGCTGTAGTATTGAGGGACCCCCGCAACCTCCCGTAGTATAGTTCCAGTGACGACCCTGAACTCTTAACAACATCAAGGTCGCCAAACATATAATTACCGTATTTCCCAACATAACAATCGACGCATTTCACTTCAGAGTTCGTGATGTCGGAATTATTTTGGCTGCTTTCAGACACATCTTCCCATGGCATTGGGAACGTGCAAGCCGTGGAAGAATTTAGCCACGGTTGGTCACCCATCAAAATATCGGAAATATAGTATGCGATCGCCTTTTGGGCATTTCCTTCATCCCTTGTTCCTGGTCCATTGGCGCTTGTAAAGATTCCAAAGTCCAGGTCGGGGAGAAGTGTGAGGTAGGTTATGTAAGAAAACAAGCCTCCCGAGTGCATGACCTTTTTATATCCTGAAAAAAACCCGTAAAACAATATAAAACATTGTAGTATCACAACCTGGTGTATTGGTAATAATATATCATAATATTATATATTCACAATTCTGCGGGGACTACGGGGTCATCACGCCGATTACCCACTTGGGTACAATGTGTGATGCCCATTTCTGGTGTCCCCCGCTGTGATATTGCTGGAATATTGCTAAAAGCGGCGAAAAACCAAACTCTCTCACTCACTCATTCAGAATCCTGCGAAACAAGCTCAAGTCAATAATAGTGCAGGATAAATGGTAGTCTGGTTGTATGTATACTACGCTTTTAACGAACACGCATACGACGAACTGTGTTTTTTGTCTAGAACCCTGGCTATATATTTCACTTCAATTAAGGTTATAACGAACTGTGTCCCTTTGATACCAAATACGAATGCCGAATGCGCAGTGCCGAATGTGCAAAAGAAAAAAAAACAAATATGAAAAAAAATCAGATTCTGGATTCGAATACGAAAACAAATTCAGATTCGGGATTCGAATCCCCAATCCCCAATCCGATTCTAACTTCATGTTCCCTTGAGTGACTCGTGCATCATCATCAAGAGTTGAGAGTGGTGTGGTAGCCTAGTGGTTAAGCGTTCGCTCGTCACTCATATGTTGTTTGTCGGTTCATCATATTAAAGTCGATCTGGTAGTCTTGCGGTTGACGTGTTAACCAGGGCTCCTTTCTCGAAGCAACCTTTCACTAAGGTTTACCTTAACTCCCATTCTTTAACATTACACTAAGGTTAACTTAGTGACTTACGATCACCTTAGTGCTTTGTGAAAGGAGGCCCAGCATGATTGCTTTTATGGAAGCACAACTTAGAATATTTCTGGAATGTTTCTTACCCTTATATGTCGATAAAACCCATGCATAACCATATCCATAATACAAGTCGCCCACGGGATACTTCGGCTTTATCACGGGGTGAGGGCTATTATAACTCCGGTGAGATTTGAAGACCTCTGCAAGTGTTGTGGACTTGACGAGAGTGACGTTCTTCTCTGTCACCCCTTGCCTCAGCAGGAAGTGCATCCATTTAGTCATGTCCTCTGCCGAGGAAGCAATAGCACCCGCAGCCTCTGATGGATGTATGCTGTGGAGAACCAAGAACAGAACATAAGAACACATCTCCCATCGCCAGAAGACACAAGTTAGTGTGTGATATGGATCTTTGTGTATCGTCCTCGTGTCCCAGCGGGTGGATCGGTGCTGGTGATATCAATCACAGTTTTGCTCGCTTAATCTCGGGGTCAGAGTAGAACAATATGTAACATACTCCCAATATGTCCCTGTTTCATATACTTGCGGTACGGGTTTACTACAATAAATATAAAGTGTTACCTGTGCGTGTATCGTAGTAAAGTAAACCCCAGTTCTGATGGAGGCATGTGACAGCTGTGATTGGATGATATTGTGTAAGATGATTATGCTTTTTAAATGTACATCCATACACTAATTACAACTGACCACAATTTTTAATATCTGGGGCTGCCTTTTATAGCCCGATGACTTATGCTGAATGTGTTCACAGATATTTTCAAGTTGATGACATTTGCTGCGGAACTGGGGCTGGCGTCTTCAGCTTCCTGTACTCGGAAAAAGAATTGGTTAACCTCGTTGAAATGTGTGCTTTCTATTGCAGCTCTAAGGCATACTGTGCATTTATGTACACGAAATGGCTTGAAACGCCATGGCTATTTTATAAGAACATATTACGTTACCATGGAAGTCTATGGGGAAACATTAGGTTTTGTGTAACCTATATCATTGTTCATTCTGTCAATCACTGAAAAACACCGCCTTTACTGAATTAAATAGTCTCAATCATGACCATTGTTTAAAGGGACAATCCTTCCCGACACATATGCGGCCAATGAAGAAATCGACTCTGGACCAGATGATTTAATGACTGATCCCTCAATTCTGTTTGTCGCCCCTAAAGACAAGCATTGGTTCCTGAAAACCAATTCTGATTAGAATGCAGATAGAAACAGGTTGATATAATAATAAACATCAGTTGCAATATGATATTTTCGTTATTGTCTTGGAAGCCGCTTAATCCTTAATGTTACAAATCATTTGTTTCTCTTCCAAATAAGAACTTATCATTATGAAACAAAGAAACAGCAAATCACATGTGCAATGTACCAAACCATGCACTAGATATCCTTAACATTGTTTATAGGTTGAAAGTGCTGTTTGTTTCAAATCCACATATTTTACATTAATTAAACACAAGCGATTAATTGTTTTCTGTCACGAGCATTTGGACTGCGTATTTCGTTTTTCGTTTTTACATATCTGCTCGATCCGTAATGAGATAACGTTCTTATCGGGTATAAATATACATGTGTCCTTTTTCTTTTTGTTTTGCTTTTCATTTTATAAAGAAACAGATACAAGAATGACCTACACTTTTACATCCTTAAAGATGTTGATACGCTGAAAACGAACGGGATTCTTCAAAATGCGCAATTCAGCTATCTAACAAATCTGATCAAATGTATTATCTTACTCGTAGATGGAACTATCTAATAAAGTGAGCTCGTTCTCCACGTCAAAGTACGGTTGTGCCATTTCTGCTGCATTTGACATTATCGTCTTTCCCAGAACACGTGACTTGTTCATTCCCAGTGGCTTGAAGATCCGTTTCTCCAGAGTTGCTTCGTAGGATTCTCCTGACAACACTTCCACAATAGGGCCGAGCAGAGCATACGCCCAGTTGTTATACTCAAAGACGTCACGGAACGGTTTAACTTCTTCAAGAAAACGGAAACGCCTGTGAAGACAAAAACTTATAATCATAACTAATGCTCAATACACTCCATCGATGGAAACTGTGATGGGTGTTTAATAGCTTATGATATACATGTATTAACTTGCTTACATGTATAAACCGACCAGAACGTACATCTAGTTATAATCGTGGACGAAACGTGATTGTTTAACTTCGGGGATAAAGCGTGAGTGAGTGAATTTGGTTTTAAGCCGCTTTTAGCAATGTTCCAGCAAAATCACGGCGGAGGAGACCAGAAATGGGCTTCACACAGTGTACCCATGTGGGGAATCGAACCCGAAGCCAACGGTTTAACCACTAGGCTCAGTCTCAGTCCAGTCGGACCACTTCCGTAGTCCTCGGTCCATGGGTTCATGGATAATTCATAACGACCTGGCAATCGGTTGTTACCAATAGGATGGGACATATTGTAAATTGGGTTTTACCTCGCGTCGAACGGTATTTCAGGTATATTAATGTGTGTTTATAGTTCGCTTAATGTGCAATGTTGATCCAAAGTGCCATAGGTTGTCAAACCAGCGAGCACGGGTTTGGTTCTGATAAACTTAGTATCATGATCGTGACGTATACTGGATTTGAAAGGATACTGGCAAGTGCAAGGCAGGTAACTCTGCCTACGAATTGTTACGTCTCAGAGGACTGGTACACACGTACGGGGGAAAATATGAATATAAAAAATATGGTATATTTCAAAGAAAGTCTACCTTGCAAATTCAGTTCTCGTTAAGTTGTGGTCGAATCCTGCAAACAGTGGCGAGAGTGCGCGGTGGAGCCCTGTTCGGTGGATCAAAAGATCTTTCAGAGTAGTTTCCCTTGTTCTTTCATCGTCCACTAAAGAAAAGTCTGGACCCAACACGTCCCTCAGCTTTGATGTCCATTTAAAACTGTAATGAAGGAGTATACATTACTTCAGTGCATCAAATGTTTCCCACCACCTAATCTCATACACAAAATATGTAAAAACAATGCAATATAACCATGAGTTGTTAAAGTTTTAACTGGTTGTAGTTAAGAAAAAGAAGCGACAATCTGAAAAGGCATGACTTATACAACTTTAAATGATATGTTTGTTTGTTGTTTAACGCCCCAAACCGAAACATGAGTCTCATTAACCTACTCAGACAATGACCTACTTTTCAGCCGATCCGAATTTTCTCGTGTGAAAGTGAAAAGAGACACCACAAACAACTATGGTTACACTGAATTTCAATTCCTTGTTTCATAAGAAAATGGTATTCACAAGTTAATTTTAATTTTAAACTTTAATAACTTCGTATTTCTATATTTTATGGCGATGTGTAGGCAGCATGACCTTAAGTAAGACGTCACGGGCTCCCCTGTTTGATGAGGTCGTAAAATGATTCACAATGCATCTGGCTCACTGGTTACACCTGTTATGTGTTTTTTGCGCTTATTCAGTGTAGTTTGGTAATGCAGTTTGTAGTTTAAATGAATTGGACTCAAAATTCTGGACTGGTTATTGTACTAAGTTGCGCAACAAGACGGAACCCAGTCAGCAGGAAACGAGACTGTTGTGTAATCAATGTTTTGACATGGGTTGCTGAAGATATTCTAACCAGGATCTTCACGGGTATATTTAAAGTATAAGAACATGTTATAAATGCATGGAGAGAGGTGACTGAGTGAGCAATAGTGAGTGGATGAGTGAGTGAGTATAGTTTTTAGCAATATTCCAGCAATATCACGGCGGGGACACCAGAAATGGGTTTTACACATTGTACCCATGTGGGGAATAGAACCCGGGTCTTCGGCGTGACGAGCAAATGCTTTAACCACTAGCAGTGTATGAAATAAGGCCCGTCCGACCGACCGAGACGGTCTAGATTTCTGACGGACGGACTAAATTTACAGCTAGCCAGGCCCGATGGTCTGGTAAAAAATTTAGATGTTCCATACATCTGCATAAATTCACCATATTTGGTCTGGTTAAATCCATTTTGGGCTGGTAACATTTTGAAGTTACCAGCCCTGATGTCTGTCTGGGTTTTTGGGGCGGTGGGGTAGTCTAGTGGTTAAAGCGTTGGCTCGTCACGCCGAAAACCCGGGTTCGAATCCTCACATGGGTACAATGAGTGAAGCCCATTTCTGGTGTCCCCCGCCGTGATATTGCTGGAATATTGCTAAAAGCGGCGTAAAACCAAACTCAGTCAGTCAGTCAGTCTGGATTTTTGGCTTATTTCATACACTGCCACTAGGCTACCCCGCCACCGCGTGAGCAATGGAGATCGGACTGATAGATGGAGACTGAATTATAACTATGTTCATAATAGTTTCATAATGTGATTTACAAAAAATCAAACATTGAAATAATCACTTAGAGTGAGTGAGTATGGTTTTACGCCGCTTTTAGCAATATTCCAGCCACATTACGGCGGGGGACCCCAGAAATGGGCTTCACATATTGTACCCATGTGGGGATTCGAACCCGTAATCATTTAGATAACATCAGCAGCAAATTGCACCATGAAACAAAACACGAATTACTATGTTATTCACTTCCAGAAGAATTAAAGCATAAAGAGTTTCAATTCTATAGATAAGCATTTCCGTTTTATTGTATAATACTAAGGTTTCCACCTGCTGGAATCTAAAAATAAACGGTGCGAGTCTCACCTTATTCCACACTAGCTGCCTGAATAACATACGACACAGTGCAAAAATACAGTTGTTCGGGTAAGGGAGATAATCACTGATTAGTCAAACAGACAGTGTCAGCTGACGGTTTGAATTGGATAAGATGTACAGCATTCGAAGTGAAGTACACGAGGAAGGTATGAGGCTGTAGGATTTCTAATGGAAATCATGTGTACGTCAATTAATACTATTTTCGTATACAATTTGGGCGTGGTAAATTAAGCGAAGTATGTATATTTCTCCTTAACATTTCAATTTTATATAAAAAAAATAACTTACGAAACATGTCTACAGTCAAGGGAAAACAAAACCGGCGCAAGTTTAAAGGCACTATTTCACACCACACTTCTCTAAAAATAAATAATCCATTTCTCTCAATACTACTAACTATCAGCCCTCAGGGAAGCTACCATATAATTTATTCCAAAAACAAGTACGTATTTAGATTACAATATTAAATTAAAAGTTCGAATGAATTACTGCAACGTTGCATATATTTACAATACATTTCAGGTGTTATTATGATAATCATTCTACCTGCAGCATAAATGCTGTATGTGCATTTGCTGCTGAGTTACAAGGTGACTTAGCTATGGGGTCGCATATTTTTCTTATTGCAAGAGTCCTGAAAGAAGCCATGTTCCAGTTTATAAAACTGCGTCTATTATCAATTAAATGAAAGTGACTAAAACATACCAAAAACATATTAAGGTTTGCCCGGATTCTTGGTTTGATGGCACCGTACCCGAACAAGGCGATTCACTTCACCTCACTCACTCATTCACTCACTCACTCAAAACTAAATTAGTAATATATACACTAACGTATAAATTGCGTGTATCAATATCTCTCACATACTTCCCATTACTTTCATCAATCATCATAGCTAGGAGAGTGGACGTAAAGGCCTTGGACACAGATCCAATACAAAACAATGTATCCTTGGTGACGTTCACTCCCTGTTCTATGTCCGCCTGTCCGAACCCACGTGTCCACGTCTCACCCCCCTTCACAACAGCCAGGGTCAGCCCGGGGACATGTCTACACCGCATGACCTCCTCCACAAACGTTTCAACCTTTCTGACCTCGTCATCGGTGAAAACCCCCGCCGACCCGCCTGAGACGGCGGACAAAAACAGCAACGCTTGCATCGACAACATCATCCTGACGAAAGTCTCCACCAAACCGCTGAATCAGTCGCCCAGAAAAGAATTCTGGCAAGAGGCCATATATTCTGAGATGTAATATGATCTAAGTTACTTTTTTCGCTGTATAGCACGCACATCTTATTACAACCGCATGGACTGAACGAGATAGTTGGTAGGCTTTTTCACAGCGTGATAGTAATTCCTTCCGGCGTACTCTGACGTCGGTGTGTTTTACTGCAAATGCTAGTGTGGTGCATGCCAGAAGTATTAATCTGATATCTGACTGATGTGGAATCTCGGAAAAAACGGTTATTGTCGCGTTTACATGGTGAATGAGTTTTAGTTTTACGCTGCTTGTAGCAATATTCCTTTTATTCCCCAAATAACACTTTAACCACAATGCCACCCAACTGCCCCTATCTTGAGATGGTAACTGTGTGTTGTGTAGGGGAAAACAAGTCTCCGATGTTTCAGTTGAAAATGTAACTGTTGCCTCAGGGATTTCCCCACTTCCGAGTGTTTACATTTTCAACCAAACCCGAAGTGTAACTATCTGGCTTATAAACTTTCAAAAGATTTCAATTCAAACAAAAATCCAATTTACACTGGCCCGTTTTAACTCCAGATCACGTAAACGACTGCTTTCGAAAGCAGTCGCTGCAATGTCAAGCTCGCGCTTTTTATAATAAGTGGGCACAAGCCCCTGCGTCGTTGCTTAAATATCCTCAGTACAGTAAATGTAAAAATTCACTATCCTCTTTATCTTAACGCCATAACGCCAGATACTCCGGACAGGTCCGTTAGCCTTTTCTGAAGTGAAATCGCAAATCATGCACAAAAACTTCAATTCTAGTATTATCATTTTCTGGATTCAACAGTACAATGTGTCTGAGTGGGGTATTCATGCTTAACTGCGGCATGGTATCTCAGTGAGCTGGCACTATAAAACATGCTTAAGTCTGGGCTAGTACAAGCAGCCACACATACACACGCATGCACGTCGTCATATGAGAGAATTATTCTTAAGTACGATGTAAAACTCCATTTCACCTCACCTCACCTCACCTCACCTCACCTCACCTCACCTCACCTCACCTCACCTCACCTCACCTCACCTCACCTCACCTCTGGACTCAAATACATGACACTTTTCAAATCCTAATAGCTATTATATAATATCGACCGAGAGGGATCGACTGGCCATTTTGAAACCAACTGGTCACACATGTTAAAGTTCTGTCCCTTTCAAAGGGACAGAGTCTTCTCAGAATCCTAAAACATCCCTTGGGACAGGTTGCCATGTGCAACACGTCAAGACTAAACATGATTTTCAGAATAATTAGGCACAGAGTCTGTTTCCAGTCCGAACATGATCAATAAGAAATCAATTCACATTCTGAGGAAACAGAAACACGGTTACTGGCTATGTAATCATTGCTGTTATATCAATTAGTAATAGACAAGGACCGATAGATCATGTAGAAACGGTAGAAAACTGCCCCAAATACCGCTGTATGTCCAGCTATCATTCTGCACACCCACTGAAGCATCAGAGAAATAGCCACAAGTTGTCTCTCTTTGACCACCGAGGGCTTGCTCCTCGCCAACAGAATCAACTGTAGGCTTACTTTCTCCAAATGACAGCAATGGGAGAGTTTGGATCGAGTGAGTGAGTGAGTTAGGGTTTACTCCGCTTGTAGCAATATTTCAGCAATATGAGGGAGGGGGGACACCAGAAATGGTACCGATGTGGGAAATCGAACCCGGGCCTTCGGCGTAACGAGCGAACACATTAACCACTGGGCTACCGCGCCGCTCCTTGGGTGTGTTTGGAACCTCTTGTACTTCCGCCATATTATTACGTGTCAGCTTAATGTGTTGGGAAACCCAAAATAGTGCAGAACATTGACGTTGTTGTAAACCACCAACATCATTATGGTGCTGACGATCATAATCTTGGCGTTCCAGGATTCGAACTCACGAACCTCGATTTCTGGCACCCAAAATACAGGGAGGCAACTCAGCACAGTACCTACTTAGATCAATGGGTCGCTTTGTCGCGTTCGTTTTCCTCTCAGTGATCCACTGGTGATGTGATCCAATCTCAGATTTGCCCAGCACAGTGAACTGCAGCGTCATAAATGAAGCCCACCCGTGAGCCCACAAGTCGATGAATTGCGTCCTAGAGACTTATTGTCAGTAAATAAATAACGTTAGTCCATATCAGAAACAGTGGGTTCACTGGGTTGCTTTCCTTCTCTAATTTTACACCGGTGATGTGTTCGAATCTCAGATTTTGTCCAGATTAGGTATCTGCTTGACACAAGTCACTGGCAGTCCTTGCAATTTGGACTGCCATGTGCAAACTTACACTGGTAGAAGGCACCCGTGTCCCTTTTCAGTGTCTTACATTTCCCTTTAAATATCTGTATCAAAATGAAACAAGCTTCACGACGCGATATTTCACAACACTTTTCGCAAACATTATTCTCAAACAGTGATTTTTTTATAATGTTTTAATATGTTGAAGCATAATTCTATCTGATGATGTTTGCTTGGACGAAGGCATATTTTGAACGTTTTGAGCTAGGTATAATATTCAGATTATCGTCTGGCTCAAGACTCTCATGTACCCTATTCCGTAGTACTGAAATGCTGAGCATAGAGCAGCCATCAAATCCTTCACCACCACATAGAGGTGCAACTCCATGACTTAACACAGTTAAACGGTGAGTGAAGGATCCACAAGCAGGAAGGAACAGGCTGTCGTCGTTCACAGCATTATTTTATGACATTAAAGAAACCAAACTCCTTATAGGAACGATATTTCTATCCTATTTGCAACTATATACTATGAAGAATAAAACAAACACTCCTTGATTCCTTATGTTTTCGCGTTAATGAGGTACTAGTGTAAATAGGTTTTTGAATGACCGAGCAAACACATGCCTCAAGCTTGGTTGCTCATTTACTCTGGTAATGTAAAACTACCACTTAAAACTGCTTTACCGAACACTTATCTTGGAATCCCAATAGTGGTGGCTGAGCAAACATATAGTTCTGGTAAATCATTCTATCTGGTAATATAGAACTAAATTCTTCTTTGCCGAACACCTTGGAATGTCTCTTGTGGTTGCTGAACGAACACATATATGCCGTAGTGCTGTTAAATCAAGCTCACTGGTAATTTACAACTGCTAAATACCTCTTTGACCAACACATATCCTGGAATGCTGAGCAAACATATATGCCGTAGTCCTGTTAACTCATTAACTGTGGTAATTTACAACTTCTTAAAACCTCTTTGACCAACACTAATCTTGGAATACCAATAGTGGTTGCCGAGGGTAGCAACATGGCGGCATTACTCTGGTACTTTACAACTTTTTGAATCTTTGACGAACAGAGATCTTAATCTCTGGCCTATGACTCATTCCCATGCTTCCATCTACTGTCAGTTCCTCGTCAAAGATCTCTATGGCCGTATTTTCATCGCTGTACTGTTTCCTTGTGTACCTTACGGCTCCATCTCCTTTGTCGTAGACGTACATTTCATCGAAGAAAGACTCTTGGTGATCTGTGGTGCCTGGATGTGTTATCCCAACAGCCAACCAATTCCTGAAGAAGTCAAAGTTGAATGGTGCACACCACATGACCACCACACTGCGACAGGCATCTGGCCGGGCAGAGGGTTTGATCTTCCAGGTCACGGTACCGTATGATCCTGTAGCTGTTTGCGCCTTGTTGTGTGCAAACTAGGAAGTTAAAAGATGCATTCATAATACAGTCATGAAGCCTAACAGCTTACTGCAGTTTTGTTATATTGGTTGACGTGCAACGTAATAATCTCAGTCTATTCACCTTAGATACATAAACCATTTAATTTATATACTCGTATATGTATATCACTAAACACAAACACGTTTTAGAACAAGGAATTTTTATGTATGCTAAAAACGTTTCGTTCATGATATGTTCCTGTATGTGTTTAGGTGAGCAATATGCTTGTATATCGTTTTGCTGCTCAATAACGCACACATCAATATTCTAGCTATATGATGACTGGACCAGACAATCATGTGATTACCATCGTTAGCATCAATCTACGCAATGGAGAAACGTTGACTTGAATCGAACCAGTCACTAAGCCTGAGCATACGATGCCGTCAGTTCACTCCTGCCGCAAGTATGGGTTGATGTAGACCAATTCCAACCCAGAACCCAGATGATTTAAGAGATAAGTGGCTTGTCTTTGCTTGACTTGGTGAATATAACAGGAACCATCCTGCGTAATCTTACGCTCTCCTTTTTATTAACACCTGGGTCCCGTTTCACAGCGCTTCGACTGTCGTAAGTCTATGTTACAGAATAGGAGGTATAATGTCGTAGCGCTACGATAGCTTTGTGATACGGGGCCCTGGTTTTAGTCATTCATAAACACATGTACATGGTATAGTCGGAATCGAACAGTTGACGTTGCTTTTTGTAAGTATGTCTTGTGTCAATATTTACTGTTTTGTTTTTCTGTTATTTATATAGATTAATAAATGTATAATAATCTCCATTATAACAGAATTAAAGTTTAACGCTACAGTGAACAGTTTTGATTGGATCGTTGGTTTATGGTTTAACGCCACACTCAGCAATATTCCAGCTATAAGGCGGCGGACTATAAATAATCGAGTCTGGACCGGACAATCCAGTGATCAACATCATGAGCATCGATCAATCAATCGGGATACGATGACTTAGTCAATAAAGTCATTGAGCCTGACAACTCGATCTCGTTTGCCAAGCATGGGTTGCTGAAGACCACTTCTATCCGTGATCTTCACGGGTTGAACAGTATTGAGTCATAGCAATACGTCACAACTTGATGTGAGTACGTTTTAGTTTTACGCTGCTTTTTGCAATATTCCTGCCATATCGCTGGACACCAGAAATTGGCATCACACATTTTACCCACGTGGGCAATCAAACCCGTGTCTTCGACATGACGAGCGGGCGCTTTAACCACTGGGTACCCATAGGCCCATTTGACGGGTGAGGAAATTACACTTTAAACGATGCACTTGAATGAAACCGAGAGCATGTAGGTATGATGCTGACAAAAGAAAGATTAGAACTGATCATTGGATCCTATCTCGGAGACGCTACTTGCACAGCACAGATGACTTGGCCAATTATACCTCTCCACATTTTCTCCGGAATGTAAAGGAATTGTTTTAAAGTTTTCCATTAAAAGCTTGTTATTTACCCTAACAGAGAATATTTACCATGGCATCGGTACTTCTAGGTTCAATTATCTGTGGTGGGGTGTGGATGAGGCCACCGTTTGCTGTCACACGTGGATCTTCTAACGCCCACTTGGTACAGTTCTCAACACCTATACCACATACAACTCTGTGGTTGATCTCAGACATCCGATTGGTCATGTTCGTACCATCGTAGGACCATGGTGCGAAGGGTCCTGCCGTTGGTGCATCACTTTCATCTGCCATATGTATTTATACACGCGACATATATATCATTGTATGTATGTATGTACACAAACGTGCATGCATGGATGTGTCTGTGTGCGTGCGTGCGTGTTTGTGTGCACGTGGAGTGTGGGGAGGGGGCGGGGTTTGGATTGGGGTTTGTTTTTGTTTTTTTGTTGGTTTTTTTTGGGTATCCTGGTTTATAACTGATGTCATGTGAGATATCAAGTCTCAGTTTAACAGGGATATCCAACTCACACAATGTAAACCACGTCTACTAATCTTACTTTTATCTCCCTAATGCCTAGCATTGGGTTGTGTAAAAGTGATACCAGAGCCGGGGGCTCCTGCGAGTTGGGGTATGGTTCTGACAAACCAAGAAACATACCGTTATTGTGTAATGTGGTATAGCTCATGTTAAGCTTTCTCACCGTAGAAGAGAATTTAAAATCTCCATTTTCTGTATCACTTCAAATCGATCTCGTACCATCAGTACTCCTGCCACATGAATACGCCCAGTGAATAATCAGGTCTGAAGCAGGCAAACCAGAAAGTATGGGCAACGCCTTCAGCCAGTACAGAGCTCGATCACTATATAGTCTACCTGAATGCTGACTTCGGTTGCTAAGGACGCCACGGCAAATCACCAAACTGATCACAACTAAGGTAACAATTACATATTCAGTCCGCTACAACAATACATGAAGGGGCATTTTGGCCTTTGATTGTCCATAAATATAATATACTTTCACGTGTCTTGATACAATGACCACTTCTCGCAACTTCCCAAACACATGGAAAGTTGCATGTAACAGATCAACGGCCCTGTACATGTGTGACTATGTCCATACAGGCGTTGATCGTATCTGTTGTGTTCAACAGTCTTGTGTGACTGTTTCCTTCAGGTGTTGATCGTATCTGGAGTGTGTCATGTGTTGATCGTATCTGGTGTGTTCAACAGTCTTGTGTGAATGTTTCCTTCAAGTGTTGATCGTATCTGTTGTGTTCAACAGTCTTGTGTGAATGTTTCCTTCAAGTGTTGATCGTATCTGGTGTGTTCAACAGTCTTGTGTGACTGTTTCCTTCAGGTGTTGATCGTATCTGGTGTGTTCAACAGTCTTGTGTGAATGTTTCCTTCAGGTGTTGATCGTATCTGGTGTGTTCAACAGTCTTGTGTGAATGTTTCCTTCAAGTGTTGATCGTATCTGTTGTGTTCAACAGTCTTGTGTGAATGTTTCCTTCAGGTGTTGATCGTATCTGTTGTGTTCAACAGTCTTGTGTGAATGTTTCCTTCAGGTGTTGATCGTATCTGGTGTGTTCAACAGTCTTGTGTGAATGTTTCCTTCATGTGTTGATCGTATCTGTTGTGTTCAACAGTCTTGTGTGAATGTTTCCTTCAAGTGTTGATCGTATCTGTTGTGTGTTCAACAGTCTTGTGTGAATGTTTCCTTCAGGTGTTGATCGTATCTGTTGTGTTCAACAGTCTTGTGTGAATATTTCCTTCAGGTGTTGATCGTATCTGGTGTGTTCAACAGTCTTGTGTGACTATTTCCTTCAGGTGTTGATCGTATCTGTTGTGTTCAACAGTCTTGTGTCAGGTGTTGATCGTATCTGTTGTGTTCAACAGCCTTTGTGTGAATGTTTCCTTCAGGTGTTGATCGTTCAACAGTCTTGTGTTGATGTTTCCTTCATGTGTTATCTGGTGTGTTCCACAGCCTTGTGTGACTGTTTCCTTCATGTGTTGATCGTATCTGTTGTGTTCCACAGCCTTCTGTGACTATTCCCTTCAGGTGTTGATCGTATCTTGTGTGTTCAACAGTCTTGTGTGAATGTTTCCTTCAGGTGTTGATCGTATCTGGTGTGTTCAACAGCCTTGTGTGACTATTCCCTTCAGGTGTTGATCGTATCTTGTGTGTTCAACAGTCTTGTGTGAATGTTTCCTTCAAGTGTTGATCGTATCTGGTGTGCTCCACAGCCTTGTGTGACTGTTCCCTTCAGGTGTTGATCTTATCTGTTGTGTTCAACAGCCTTGTGTGACTGTTACCTTCAGGAGTTGATCGTATCTGTTGTGTTCAACAGTCTTGTGTGAAAGTTTCCTTCAGGTGTTGATCGTATCTGTTGTGTTCAACAGTCTTGTGTGAATGTTTCCTTCAAGTGTTGATCGTATCTGTTGTGTTCAACAGCCTTGTGTGACTGTTTCCTTCAGGTGTTGATCTTATCTGTTGTGTTCAACAGCCTGGTGTGACTGTTTCCTTCAAGTGTTGATCGTATCTGTTATGTTCAACAGCCTACTGTGACTATTCCCTTCAGGTGTTGATCTTACCTGTTGTGTTCAACAGCCTGGTGTGACTGTTTCCTTCATGTGTTGATCGTATCTGTTGCGGTCAACAGCCTGGTGTGACTGTTTCCTTCAAGTGTGGATCGTATCTGTTATGTTCAACAGCCTACTGTGACTATTCCCTTCAGGTGTTGATCTTACCTGTTGTGTTCAACAGCCTGGTGTGACTGTTTCCTTCATGTGTTGATCGTATCTGTTGTGGTCAACAGCCTGGTGTGACTGTTTCCTTCAAGTGTGGATCGTATCTGTTATGTTCAACAGCCTACTGTGACTATTCCCTTCAGGTGTTGATCTTACCTGTTGTGTTCAACAGCCTGGTGTGACTGTTTCCTTCATGTGTTGATCGTATCTGTTGTGGTCAACAGCCTTGTGTGACTGTTTCCTTCAAGTGTTGATCGTATCTGTTATGTTCAACAGCCTACTGTCACTATTCCCTTCAGGTGTTGATCTTACCTGTCGTGTTCAACAGCCTGGTGTGACTGTTTCCTTCATGTGTTGATCGTATCTGTTGTGGTCAACAGCCTGGTGTGACTGTTTCCTTCAAGTGTTGATCGTATCTGTTATGTTCAACAGCCTACTGTGACTATTCCCTTCAGGTGTTGATCGTATCTGTTATGTTCAACAGCCTGGTGTGACTGTTTCCTTCAAGTGTTGATCGTATCTGTTGTGGTCAACAGCCTGGTGTGACTGTTTCCTTCAAGTGTTGATCGTATCTGTTATGTTCAACAGCCTACTGTCACTATTCCCTTCAGGTGTTGATCTTACATGTCGTGTTCAACAGCCTGGTGTGACTGTTTCCTTCAAGTGTTGATCGTATCTGTTATGTTCAACAGCCTACTGTCACTATTCCCTTCAGGTGTTGATCTTACATGTCGTTGTCAACAGCCTGGTGTGACTGTTTCCTTCAAGTGTTGATCGTATCTGTTATGTTCAACAGCCTACTGTCACTATTCCCTTCAGGTGTTGATCGTATCTGTTATGTTCAACAGCCTGGTGTGACTGTTTCCTTCAAGTGTTGATCGTATCTGTTGTGGTCAACAGCCTGGTGTGACTGTTTCCTTCAAGTGTTGATCGTATCTGTTGTGTTCAACAGCCTACTGTCACTATTCCCTTCAAGTGTTGATCGTATCTGTTGTGGTCAACAGCCTGGTGTGACTGTTTCCTTCAGGTGTTGATCGTATCTGTTATGTTCAACAGCCTGTGTCACTATTTCCTTCAAGTGTTGATCTTACATTCGTATCGTGTTGTGTTCAATGTGTTCCACATGTGACTATTCCCTTCAGGTGTTGATCGTATCTGGTGTGTTCAACAGTCTTGTGTGACTGTTTCCTTCAGGTGTTGATCGTATCTGTTGTGTTCAACAGCCTTGTGTGACTGTTTCCTTCAGGTGATGGTCGTATCTGCTGTGTTCAACAGCCTGGTGTGACTGTTTCCTTCAAGTGTTGATCGTATCTGTTGTGTTCAACAGTAATAACAAAACAGACTCGTGCAGCAAACATGCAAACGTGCACAGGGAATGGATTATTCCAGACACAGAAGCACAGCTCAAATCAGATTACCAGTTTGCTCTGAACCGAAATATGATTTCGACAGTTATTATATTACATGAATGAGAAAACACTAAAGGTCTATTACACTTGTTGATATGGAGCAATGAAAGCCTAAGTCCCGAGCATTGTTGGGTCTCATACTACGTTATTCAACCCTTCGTAAAGTAGGTCTTCAAGTTGACTGACAATGCTGGTGCAATATGGCTATGTCACCAGACTATGTCCAATATGCGTGAGTTGAATAAAGTGTTCAGTCATTTCTTTTTCTCATGGAACACAAAACGTCGCTAGGGAATATCTATAGATCTTTCAAATACTTACACACTGTTAACACCTGCTTTAGTTTGGATGATTATTTCTTATTATCTACTCTTTGCAATTATTGAATAATGCATGCACTACAGCCATTAAATGAACTGATACTTCAATATGGTGTACACTTTACTCCACACGGAAAGGTAGGAGTAAGGGCTAAAAAATTCGATTTCAGGGCCTTGATTATCGAAGCTCTCTTGGAGTGCACTCAGTATTATTCCAGCTATATGGCAGCGGTCTGTAAATAATCGAGTCTGGACCAGACAATCCAGTGATCAGCAGCATGAGCATCGATCTACGCAATTGGGATACGTTGACATGTGCCAACCAAGCCAGCGAGCGTAACCAGCCGATCCCGTTAGTCGCCTCTAACAACAAGCATGGGTTACTGAATGTCAATTCTAACCCGGACCTTCACGAATGAAGTTCTCTTAGAGCTAAGATAGTCGTAAGTTAATGTTAATGTATGGCACTTATGACCATCTCAACACTAGGATAGCTTCGAAAATCTAGGCCTCGTCCTATACATACCCACACTTAACTTCAATAGCAGGTGCGCTTGGTTTCATTCTGACGCAGAATGGTAGCTTGGTGTGGGAAGAAAGCCCACAGTGATGCAGAACTAATGGTTGTCTGCGAAGGATCAGGAATAATGCTGCATGAATTCTAATGATGTCTTCCACAGATTATCTTAAAATAGCTTCACTCCCTGTCAGAATAACAACCACTGACTTGTTAGTATATTCACGGAAGAGACCCTACCTTCCTGTCAGACTTGGAGAACAAGTATCACCCAACGCGTCCTCTCGGATCAGTGTAAACTGATGTTTCGTAGACTAGCACTTAAGCCCTGACAACATGCGTTACAGGTATTTTGACCACATTTTGTAATGAGTAAATTTGTTACGCTTCGAACTCACTTTATGGAGCACGAAAAGACAGCGATTAATGTACTCTTGTCAAAGTTAAACGCAAAGTATGTACATAGGTTCATTTTGTAAAATCCTCGGACGCTCAAAATTCATGTGAGACACCATGTACTCATTTAAACATATTGTTTTACCCTTTATTCAACTGCACATTATTTAAGCGATAGATGGTTTGTTTCAAACACATATTCCAGAGATACACACTAGACATATAGGACCCGTGAAGTTCCGGGTTAGAATGAACCTTCAGTAACCCATGCTTGTCGTAAGAGGCGACTAATGGGATCGGGTGGTCAGGCTCGCTGACTGGGTTGACACATGTCATCGGTTCCCAATTGCGTAGATAGATGCTCATGCTATTAATCACTGGATTGTCTGGTCCAGACTCGATTATTTACAGACCGCCGCCATATAGCTGGAATATTGCTGAGTGTGGCGTAAAACTAAACTCACTCTATTTTGCAAAATCTAGTTTAGAACAGTTGAGTGAAGTAAGTGGCTGCATTTACACTAGTGAGTCTAAACTTTTGACGGGTAGTATGTATTTCACTGGGGTTTTTTCACACTATACTGACACCAGTGTGATTCGAAATTGTCCAAGTTACATTGTTCTCGTAACTGCTTGTAGTGACTCGGTTGTGAGAGAGTTGCTCATAACGTCAACCACTTGTTTTATTGAAGTGACGTTGCTGACTGACTGTGGCGTACGACATCAACAATTTAACTTCCGCATAACGGAGTAACTCAAGAACTGACTCTCAACGGACTACCGATTAGGACCACCAGTTAAAAGTTCGTAAACTGAGGGCTACGAAAGTAAACGAGTTTTTTCTATGGAATTGAAACTTAAAAGAACTATTGTGAAATTTTATTATCTATATTTAACCTTCGTTCATTCCTGCAAAGGTTTGTAAGAAGTAATCAGTGGTTCGATTATTTTCTGTTATAATACATTTGTTCAGTGAAGACTTTTGTAATAAATGAATTTGTAACAACATGACCCAAATATGATTCAACTGCAATTTCTCCAAAATGCATATATATATATATATATATATATTGTTTTTCAAAGATACAGTGTCTAAGATCCTCTTCCGCAGAATGCATAAACAAAAAAGTATTTTTAAAATATAAAACATGTGGACGTATTCTTATATACTTGTACTATCGATTATGTAGATTTCGATTTATGATAAATAAATATGATAAAATCCTATGAGAGGTATACATTCATTTTTACAGAGACCAGTCAGGTGACCAAATTTGAAAACATGTTTTGACCCTTGTTTTCAAAAGCCATATTACCAAGTCGCTTTGTACCCAGCGCTCCTTGAAAACATAGTTGCTTGACTTCATAGTACATTCACTTATAGATATATACCGTTATAATAGGCAAGTAAATATGTTATGAACCATGGCTGCCACTTCGCTCCAGCTCTTTCAAACAACGTAATTTAACGTGTGAAACGTTTAACGATTGCAGCAATGGTATTGTTAAAGTCTGGCTATGCCTCTCCGTGTCGTAGGAAATATTTACATGTACTTATATTCTAAACGAAATTAAGTTTTTGTCTTTTATTCTATACACTGTTTATATGCAATGTGTGACGGTAGTGTGCAAACGTATTCTGAAAATTATGGAATCCTGGAAGGGACATTGTCGCGTTGTCGCGTTGTCGCCCTCTCAAAAATAAGCAAAATGAGGCACAATTAACCAAAGCGCGACAACGCGACAATGTCCCTTCCAGGATTCCATAGAAAATGTTCCAAGTGTACATGTACAATGGCAAATACCTGAAACTTTGTCAATAGTTCTGCCAGATTGCCAGTCACAACAATGCTTCGATCAATGTTTTCCATTAACTTTGGACATGGGAATGTCTGCACGTTCTGTAAATTCATTGATTTTCTTTACAATTATGCTAAAACATAAACTCACACAAATAATTACGAATACATTAATAAGCATTTTGGTTCCAGAGGTTATTTTGGTTCCAGACACCCTACAGTGCCCATCGCCAGTGTAAAACATGAACGTGTACATGTCGCATGTGTTGTGCTTGTCAGTTTGTATTCTCTATGCTGAAGGTAAGTGTCTTCGCCGTCTTCCAAATCCACATTGCATTGCCCTAATGTTATTATTAACGGAATCCCAACTTCGAGAAAAGGTAAATTAGTGTCATAATGCATTGCTATTTTATAATGACATTTATTCTTAATTATTGAAAAAAGCAATTACTCTTTGTTGTCCTGGAACTTAAGAACTTGATGAAGATATATATATATACAATAAGCTTTTGTAAGTGTAAGAGATGCTTGTAGCTTGTGGAATATTTTCTTGCTTCAGTGTATTTTCAAGTTATATATTTAACCTTATTTCACTGTTATTTCAACGTTGAGGAACAAAAGTGTTTCAACATAGCTTCAACGCCAGTTGGGAGATTCAATGTCCAGTAAGCAAGTTAGTGTAGACACTAATCTTACCGTCATGAACTGTCTAATGGTTACATTGTCTATAAAGTGTCAAGATTAGCCAGCACAAATGTCCATACATATATTGTTTTAGGATAGGCTGCTTAGATTTTAAGGTCTTTGTAAGCTTTGTTATATTTTTCTATAAAACTCTTTTCCATGTTCTGACTTGCGTTAGGTACGTGCTTTGGACCTCGTACTTCCAACGGTTTAACGGCCCTTACATTTTCTGATTAAAGCCAAACAAGACGAATATGTTGTATATTGTATTACCAGGTTCTGAATGAGACCACATCATTTCAGCGCTGTTGATACAATCATGTAGATTAGCTCAGTGAGTTAGGTGGTAATTTGTATTCTGTAATTTCACATAGCCCTTATATTAACCGTAGATCATTTATTTTTGTGTGATATATTTTGTCGTATTTTGAGAGTGTGATAATTATTCATTTTCACACTCACTTTCATTTTTCCCTCGGGCTTTTACAGATAGTTCCTGGTGTAATATTATCTTTGGCAAGTAACAACAATCATGTTCCTTATTTTCCAAAAGTGCGTTTAGCAGATTACTGTCCTAAGTAAAACCGTGAAGGTTCGGGTTAGAATTGGTCTTCAGCAATCCAAGCTTGTCGTAAAAGACGACTAACGGGATCGGGTAGTCGCATTCCAACTGCGTAGCTCATGATTGTCTGGTCCAGACCCGAGTGTTAGCAGACTGTTGTTATACAGCTGGAACACTGCTTAAACAACATTACATCTCGTAAAGATTTAAAACTGGATTTTCTTCGCTTGTCAATATTCAAAATGTCATATCTGAATTAGTTTTTCAATATCTGTATTCTTGACTAAATTAAAATGTCTAATTTCTAGTATATTAATTTAAAAAGTACATGTAATGATGATGATGACCATTTTGATCATGATGATGCTTTGCGCTACCATGGCTAAATGACATATGGTTCACATCTGAAGGTTTATCAGTAGTTTTCGTTTGGTTGTTCGGTTGTTTCCACGCCACCCTCAGCAATATTCAACCTATTTGACGGCAGTCTGTATCGAATCAGACAATTCAGTGACTGATATCGCGGGGACCAATTCCATCCTGGACCTTCACAGGTTTATCATTAGGTGAAACCATCTGGGAACAGGCCCCATCATCATAATTTTGGTAAAAAAAAGAGACAACACAGCACCCAGTCACCCATATATACGGGGACCCGTGAAGATCTGTAATAGAATTCAGAAGCCCATGCTTGTCGTAAGAGGCGACTAACGGGATCAGGTTGTCAGGCTCGCTGACTTGGTTGACACATGTCATCGTATCCCAATTGCGTAGATCGATGCCCATACTTCTATTCACTGGATTTTCTGGTTCTGACCGCCGCCATATAGTTTCAATATAGCTAAATAACTATATACGGTACCGAAGAAAAGCACGCAGTGTTTACAATAATCACAAAGATGAAACAGATGTTTGACCATTCACAAAATTATTATATTTCTATGCTGTCAGGATCTCAAATAGAGATACTTTCCTCTGGAGACGGTGTTATGGTCAGCACAAAGTCCCATGGGGTGGACATTCAAGGATGTTCCAGTATCAAGTTTCAGCTCAAGGCTTGCAACGACGCGTTAATTTGGTTAGGGGATGGCTCTGTGGATGGATCATATGAGTTAGTGATAGGGGATGCGTCCAACCAGAGGACTTCCTTTAGGAACTGTGGTTCATGTATTGCCGGTGGGACGTCGTACCCTTCTCCCAAAGTGCTGGACTGCGATAATTACGTGTAAGAGCTGTGTTGTAAAAGTGTTCTCCATGTCCTCTACTTAAGCTGTAATTCCACTATTTTGTGTTGTCTGCAGGCTAATGTGCACCACATTCCACTGTTTGTATTGTCTGCAGGCTATTGTGCACCACATTCCACTGTTTGTATTGTCTGCAGGCTATTGTGCACCACATTCCACTGTTTGTATTGTCTGCAGGCTATTGTGCACCACATTCCACTGTTTGTATTGTGTGCAGGCTATTGTGCACCACATTCCACTGTTTGTATTGTGTGCAAGCTATTGTGCACCACATTCCTCTGTTTGTATTGTCTGCAAGTTATTGTGCAACACATTCCTGTTTTTGTATTCTCTGCAGGCTATTGTGCACCACATTCCACTGTTTGTATTGTGCCCAGGTTATTCTGCACCACATTCCACTGTTTGTATTTGTCTGCAGGCTATTGTGCACCACATTCCTGTGTTTGTATTTGCACTACATCCACTGTTTGCAGGCTATTGTGCACCTACATCCACTGTTTGTATTGTGTGCAGGCTATTGTGCACCACATTCCACTGTTTGTATTGTGTGCAGGCTATTGTGCACCACATTCACTGTTTGTATTGTCTGCAAGATATTGTGCACCACATTCCTGTTTGTATTGTCTGCAGAGCTATTGTGCACCACATTCCTGTGTTTGTATTGTCTGCAGGCTATTGTGCACCACATTCCACTGTTTGTATTGTGTGCAGGCTATTGTGCACCACATTCCACTGTTTGTATTGTGTGCAGGCTATTGTGCACCACAATCCACTGTTTGTATTGTGTGCAGGCTATTGTGCACTACATCCACTGCTTCCAGTGTCTGCAAGCTATTGTGCACCACATTCCACTGTTTGTATTGTGTGCAAGCTATTGTGCACCACATTCCACTGTTTGTATTGTGTGCAGGCTATTGTGCACCACATTCCTCTGTTTGTATTGTGTGCAAGCTATTGTGCACAACATTCCAGTGTTTGTATTGTGTGCAGACTATTGTGCACTACATTCCACTGTTTGTATTGTGTGCAGGCTATTGTGCACCACATTCCACTGTTTGTATAGTCTGCAGACTATTGTGCACCACATCTCACTGTTTGTATTGTGGGCAGGCTATTGTGCATCGCATTCCACTGTTTGTATTGTTTACAGGCTATTGTGTAACGTATTCCACTGTTGTAAGGTGTGCAGGTTATGACACACCGTGTTCCACCTTCCTATTGGGTTTGCAGGCAATTGTGCACCACATTCCACTGTTTGTATTGTGTGCAGGCTATTTTGCAGTGCATTTCGTCTTTTTGTAATGTGTGTAATCTAATGTACACTAAGTACAACTGTTGCACAGAATTTGTACACTTTTCTTGTATATAACGTATGTTCCCAGGGATCTATGGTTGGAGTGGTCTGACTACCATGTTGCGTTTGGGAAGAACGACACCAAGGGGGTGGGTGTAATCTTCAACCGCACCACCGTATCACTACGCCAGTTCTCAACCATGAAGGTTGCAGGAAGTAACACTACCGCTGCCAGATTTCTGTTTGGTAGGTCATGACTGATATCTCCTTAATGTCCAGTCTCACAAGCAGGTCTAAGTGCTCGCTAGCACTAAATACGGACCACTCATCACAGGTGACGTCAGAACGACCTTTCATTCGACCAATCAGATCGTCGCTGACGAGATCGCGAAAGTCAATGAGTGAGTTAAAATTTAAAGTCCCGTTGGCAGTATTTCAGCCATATCGTGACTAAAACAAGGTATATATTGATAAGTTTCATAATAAAATCTGTCGGCAAAACAACTCGACTATCACATATTTACTAGATACATCAAATGTGTTAAATAAGTCAATTTCCTTTAAAAAATCAATCATTAAATGTGAAGTATTACTATTAAAAAGATCCTTCACTGATGATGATTGGAAATATTGAAAATCTGAATGTGTTTAATCATGCAGCCTTGAAAATGTTAATACAGATCACTTTAAACTAAGCATCTCTTATATCCCGTTTCATGTGGATATTCATTGACAGCGTAGAGGCCTTTATGTCATAACAAGAACTGACATACAATCTCGGCTATCTGTTAGATATTTGGAAATTTTCATTTTGAAAGTTTGAATCGTGAATCTTGTCAAAAATGTTAATAGTGCAGTCTGGAATCGAAGTGGCTATTTTGAAATTTCTGGACAAAAATTTGGCTGCAAATTCGTATGTCGGTCAGTTTACTTATGACTTGTTTGAGTGGCATTTTAGAAGTTGAGACGTACAGTATATAACAAGTTTTATGGATAACAACTTCTTTATTTTCGTGAGTGCGACGTTTCGATACAGATTCTTGTACCGTTGTCAAGCAAGAGTGATACATGAAGTGTAGGAGCTGCATATATATACTGTATATAACAATGAAACAACATAATAGACAAAGGAAACAACATAATTGCCATGATTGGCTAAGCAGTAAGCTGATGAAGCCAGTAAGTACATAAAGGATAGTGAATGGAAGCCAGAGATGTAGTTACAATGAGATGTTTATACAATGGATGCGAAGTTTATACAATAGACTGGGCTTGGTGGAGGAGTGGGTCATAAGCAGATGGAATGAAGTATCCTTGGTCACGGTTGATGGTAGGCTTGTGGCGTTTGATGTGAATGGCTTCTGTGAGCTTGCGTTTAGTGAAGTTGTTGGCGAGAATGGTGATGTCGGACCACTCTATTTGATGATTGGGGTTGGCTTTGATGTGGTCAACAGAACCAGAAGCAACGCTTTCACCTCCTGCCAAAAAGATCTAAACCAGAATCAGCCCCCATCAAGATATCCATTCCCTACATTGGTAAACCATCACACCAAATCAGCCGACTCCTGAAACAACAGGCAGGAATAGACACTACCTTCTCAGCGTCCTCCAGCCTCAACAACCTCCTCCATGCCAACGGAAGAAAACAACCCACCGTCAACAACAACAACCCGAAATGTGTTATTTACAAAATAGACTGTGATTGTGGACAATGCTACATAGGTGAAACATCCCCGACCCATCAACACCTGAGTCAAAGAACATCGCACCTCTGTTGCTAATTCCGACACCAAATCAGCTATCTCTGACCACATCAAAGCCAACCCCAATCATCAAATAGAGTGGTCCGACATCACCATTCTCGCCAACAACCAAACGGACTTCACTTAAAACGCAAGCTCACAGAAGCCATTCTACATCAAACGCCACAAGCCTACCATCAACCGTGACCAAGGATACTTCATTCCATCTGCTTATGATCCACTCCTCCACCAAGCCCAGTCTATTGTATAAACTTCGCATCCATTGTATAAACATCTCATTGTAACTACATCTCTGGCTTCCATTCACTATCCTTTATGTACTTACTGGCTTCATCAGCTTACTGCTTAGCCAATCATGGCAATTATGTTGTTTCCTTTGTCTATTATGTTGTTTTCATTGTTATATACAGTATATATATGCAGCTCCTACACTTCATGTATCACTCTTTGCTTGACAACGGTACAAGAATCTGTATCGAAACGTCGCACTCCACGAAAATAAAGAAGTTGTTATCCATAAAACTTGTTATATACAGTTTACTTATGATCGTTCTGACATGTATTTCTATGTCCCTGATCGTTCAATAGTGGTAGTGAGCGCTAAAATCTGGATTTGAGAAGATAATAATAATAATTCATTTTATAGCGCCTAGTTTCCATTTGTCTTATTAATCCCGGATAACCCTAAGCTGCCCGTGAGGCGTTAAAAGGTTAATAGTCACATGACTTGGTCCCACCGGGAACAGAGCAATTTTGAACAAACTCACTTGTCGAAGGTGTGATCACATGTAACACATGTGCTTCTTGTATTGTTTGCAGGCTATTGTGTAACGTATTACACTGTTTGTAATGTGTGCAGGTTATTGCACACCGTGTTTCGCCTTCCTGTTGTGTTTGCAGGCTATTGTGCACTGCAATTCGTCCTTTTGTAATGTGTGTAATCTAATGTACACTTAGTACAACTGTTGTACAGAGTCTATACCCTTTTCTTGTATATAACTTATGTTCCCAGGGATCTATGGTTGGAGTGGTCTGACTACCATGTTGCGTTTGGGAAGAGCGACACCAAGGGGGTGGGTGTGATCTTCAACCACACCACGGTATCACTACGCCAGTTCTCAACCATGAAGGTTGCAGGAAGTAACACAACCGCTGCCAGATTTCTGTTTGGTAGGTCATGACTGATATCTCCTTAATGTCCAGTCTCACAAGCAGGTCTAAGTGACCGCTAGCACTAAATACGGACAGGTGACGTCAGAACGACCTTTCATTCGACCAATCAGATCGTCGCTGACGAGATCGCGAAAGTGAATGAGTGAGTTAAAATTTAAAGTCACATCGACAGTATTACTGCCATATCGTGACTATGAGTGAGTGAGTGAATTCAGATTTTAAGTCCCGTTGGCAGTATTTCAGCCATATCGTGACTAAAACAAGGTATATATTGATAAGTTTCATAATAAAATCTGTCGGCAAAACAACTCGACTATCACATATTTACTAGATACATCAAAAGTGTTAAATAAGTCAATTTCCTTTAAAAAATCAATCATTTAATGTGAAGTATTACTATTAAAGAGATCCTTCACTGATGATGATTGGAAATATTGAAAATCTGAATGTGTTTAATCATGCAGCCTTGAAAATGTTAATACAGATCACTTTAAACTAAGCATCTCTTATATCCCGTTTCATGTGGATATTCATTGACAGCGTAGAGGCCTTTATGTCATAACAAGAACTGACATACAATCTCGGCTATCTGTTAGATATTTGGAAATTTTCATTTTGAAAGTTTGAATCGTGAATCTTGTCAAAAATTTTAATAGTGCAGTCTGGAATCGAAGTGGCTATTTTGAAATTTCTCGACAAAATTTGGTCTATCTGCAAATTCGTATGTCGGTCAGTTTACTTATGATCGTTCTGACATGTATTTCTATGTCCCCTGATCGTTCAATAGTGGTAGTGAGCGCTAAAATTCGATTTGAGAAGATAATAATAATAATTCATTTTTATAGCGCCTAGTTTCCATCTGTCTTATTACTCCGGATAACCCAAGCTGCCCGTGAGGCGTTAAAAGGTTAATAGTCACATGACTTATCCCACCGGGAACAGAGGCAATTTTGAACAAACTCACTTGTCGAAGGTGTGATCACATGTAACACATGTGCTTCGTTGGGGGCAAGACTGAGGTCCTAGAAACTCTCAGGAGTCAAGCTGCCAACCATGGTCACCCACCCAAAGACTTTGCATAACTTCATCTGATTTGTGACCTGAGCTCTATGCACAAGACCACACACCACAATTAAGATGTTAACGACCGCAATCTGATGGACAGAGCGTCTAGACGGAGAGCGAAGGTCTGGGGTCGATGCCCGGCCGCGTCATACCAAAAGTGAATGATACTTCTTGTTACCCTTGTGTGGCACAACACAACACAACATAAGACACACTCAACACACATACTCCAGACTTTAACCACATAGTTTTATCCGGTTAAATCTATCTGATTTCGCCCATGCCACCAAACTACAACTGTTTTAAAGAGGGTCTTGATAGGTGATAAGCTATTTTTGTCAATATTCCAGCAATATTAGGTTGGGGAACGCCAATAACGAGCTCCACGGGTTGAAGTCATGTTGGGAATCGAACCGGGACCTCCAGAGGTATTTGACCCAAACTCGACATACGGCTTACGGAAAAGGAGAAAAAACACATAAGTAAATTAAATTAATAATTTACATAAAGTTTTCTCATATTGTTTAAGTGACACTCTTCAACGCTTTAAGGTATGACATTTATTGTGCATCTTATATTGTTTTAGGGAAGGCTAACGACGCCATATTTGAGCTAAAGTCTTCTGGCTATAAGTACCAAGGACAGCGACTCAATAATGGTAACACCGGCTTGGCAGCAACAGCCTGTGGTATCCTGTGTCTTAACGACAAAGCCTGTGGGAAGTTCAGCCATGACGGTATTGGACAGTGCGACCTGTTTGGCAGAGCGACGTATGGACTGTACGGTGAAACACAGTGGAAGTCCTGGAACGAGAAGTTCTGTTGAGAATGTGGGCGGTCATCTAGTTCGGAGAGTATAGTGTACAATATACAAACAAATTGTCAGAACAATATTTAAGTCAAGAACTCGCTTAAAGAAATATGGAGCTCAGAGCTAAATGCTCGAAACAAGGTCAAAGTCACCAATACATTTGCTATGCCAGTCCTTTCCCATTCCTTTATAATAGTTGATTGGACAAAACAAGATATTCAGAGTCTTGACCGCCTGACCAGAAGGATCGTGTCTGATAACAGAGCCCACCACCCTCGTTTTTTTAAAGTTTAAATGTCAACCTTAGAAATATATTGATACATGTTAATCACTCTTCGAATATTTTTCACTAAAGATGAATCAATGGATAAATCTTTTGTCATGTTTAAGAGGTTTGTCTATTACCAAGTTGATTTACATACCATACAACAAACATATAACATACTGAATGATCAAGCTTATACAAGCTTTTGTTTGATGCCTTACTGTCTGCGTTTTGTTTTCATTCACTTAAATGTACGACATCTAATCCAGAGATTCACCAGTCCCGATTCCATTGGCGAATAAGCGCATTCACTGATTTTGTCGAAACTAAAAATGATATGTTAAGTTCGATTTATTGGCTTGCTGTGTGTTTAACGCATCACCTATCAATAATCCAGCTCTATGGCGGCAGTCTGTAAATAATCGAATCTGGGCCCCGTTCCTCAAAGCGATCGTAGCGCTACGACAGTCGTAAGTCTATGTTAAGGTATGGGAGTTACGATCACCTTAGCTCTACCATCGCTTTGTGGAACGGGGCCCTGGACAAAAAACTCAGAGATGCCAACCTCTACGATTTTATCGTAGTCGCTAAGAATTTTAGCCCCAAACTACGCCAATGCGATTGCACTAGAAATTCTCCGAAATTACAATTCGGATCTATAGACAAAAACATACTCTATAGACAAAAACATACACTAAACGCCAAAAGAAACGTTACCCTCCTACCTTTATGAATTACTGACAAACTATCAAAGATATCTTAGAAGGTATTAGTTTACAAGAACGCTTAACAACACAGCTTTATGCAAATCAAGAAAAAAGAATTCTCAAATGCATTCATATTTAGGTGAAATGCATCTCTTTCAGAAGAGTTCAATTGTCCTACATTCGTCCATGCCGAAATAAACCAATAACAGTTATAACTCCTTGGATCATCATTCCTCTGCGGAATTAAGGATCATCAATATCCCATGTTCAATTGATTCCACAGCGGAATTAAGGATCATCAATATCCCCATTGGGATTCCACAGCGGAAATTAAATCATCAATATCCCATGTTTAACTCCTCATTGGGATTCCACAGCGGAATTAAGGATCATCAATATCCCATGCTTGTCTCCTTATTGGGATTCCACAGCGGAATTAAGGATCATCAATATCCCATGGGTATCTCCATGTTGGGATTCCACAGCGGAATTAAGGGATTCCCATATTGGGATTCCACAGCGGAATTAAGGATCACCAATATCCCATGAGTTTCTCCATGTTGGGTTCCACTGCACTAATATAAGAGTCACGAATATCCCAGGTTTTCCATGTTGTGACTCCTTATTTAAGGGGTTTTACTCCTTATTGGGATTCCAGAGCGAAATAAGTCACCAATATCCCACGTTTGTCTCCTTATTGAGATTCCACTGCGGTATAAAGGGTCACCAATATATCATGATTGTCTTCTTTTGGGGACCCTCAGTGTAAAAGGGATTACAGGGGATAAAATGAAATATCACCTGGTTGTGATATATGCTGGTGCCGTCGGTGACTATAGGCTACTGGTATGGACTGGTTCATTGTGCGACACTGAAGCGTTGTTCATGATATACAGTATTGGTTTACAACACCTACCCGCCCTTTCAAAATTTCTCTTTAGTAACTATTTAACATTTTAGGGAGATGGTATTTGAGTAACAAACTGTGAGTCTCACTGTAGTTCGGACTGATTGTTTATGCCCAACCCTTCTTTCCGGTCAATATTCAATAAAGCGCGATTTTATCTTAGTGTGGTATATCTCTATATTGACTGTAGTCCCTGTATCTGAATACGTGAACGTCAAGTACATGCCTGTGTCATCAGCAGTGTTTGCTTGCACTAAAATAATCCCGGACTCATTAGAGCTGTATGTGAACACCTTTGTTCCCTGTTTGCTTTACCTAAAGGCATTCATGTATCATGACATTCAGATATTTTTCACAGAAACTCATTAACTAATTCAAAGCGTATTTATTTGAAGAGCAGTGTATTTATAAATCGATTATCTTTCAGCTTGGTCGTCATTTGGCAAAGAATGCCTGGATACTGGTCTCCGATAAAACCAAATAGATACATGTATGTAAATCGATTTGACCATATTGTTCGCTGTCATATTTAATGAAAGGTTCTATCAACCAATCCCGATAACACTTAACTTACACAACTGGTAACTGTGAGCGCACGTTGAGTCAAACTGATGCGGAAGGCTCTGAATAAAGAAGATAATAGATCCACCAATAAGACATTTAAACACAGAGTATACCATTGATTTTGTTTTAAAAAAATTATTATTTTTAGTTATTGAAACAGCGGATGAAGAAGTCCAACAAATATTCTGAATATGCGCCATTGAAGGTGCACGAGATATAGGAATTTCCTGAGAAAGAGGAATGAGATGATTTTTTGATATACTATCCTATTTCTGGGAAGCATCGCTGAATGAACTGACTTCATTTGATATCTCTTACGTGGTTTGTTATAGCTGCAGCATCTTGCTCTCCTTCACGACAATGCTAAGACATGCCTTTCAAACGACCAGAGATATCTGACAGTGCTTTTTGTGTCTACTTTTGTGAAAAATGAGAAACATTCCAGAAATTGGGTCTAACGTTAATACTGTTAAAGATTAATTTTTCAAAATATTTTCAGATGAAGTGATTGGAATAATGTCAAGTATAGTCAAATCTGTTTGCGTGTATGGTCATTGCTTTTCAAACATGGAATTGCCATGGGGCTGCCTTATACGTTGTAGAACAAGGTTGAGCCTGTTATACAGTTTTCCCACAAATGTTTGTCAAAATCTTTGTTGTTTCCTAATACTGATAATAGAATTTGAAACTAGGTGTTACATTATGTAGTAGGGTACTCAAGGTATGCAACTCTTGTAGGCTTAAGCTGTAGAGTCAGTGAGGGACAGTGGTATGCTAAACTTGGACTTGTGCTACAACCTTACAGACATCGCCAGAACTAAGTACAATTATCTGGACAGCCTGCTGTAGAATTATCAGCCTATTGTGGAATTTGTTACGCTTTTTCTTTGATAATTATATAAGGAAGCGAGTTATTGCCGCTCATCTCATAATACATCTCATGTCACCAGAAGACCAGCAGTTTGTGTGCTAGGCCTAGTTGCAAGTTAGGATACTGTCACTGAGAGGAGAAAATCACCATCATTGCCTTTATTGCTATAATCACAGCTTTTGTATCCTACTGCCTCTGAACATGTATTGTCCCTCTATTTTGTATTGATTTGTGCAGTTAGTTAATTTAAGAATACACTTGTTAATTACATCACCTTTTTTTTTGGGGGGGGGGAGGGCGGATTGTTCACACCTACAGTTCATCCAACTCGAGAATGAACACGTAACAGTTTGTACGTTATTCAACGATAACGTGACCCGATAAGATCCGGGTTAGAATTGATCTTCAGTAACCCATGCTTGTCGTAAGAAACCACTAAGGGGATCGGGTGGTCAGGTTCGCTGACGTGGCTGTCACATGTCATCGCATCCCCATTGCTTACATTGATGCTCATGATTTTGATCACTGGATTGCCTTGTTCAGACTTGATTATTTACAGACCGCTGCCATATAGCTGGAATATTGTGGCCTTAAACAATACACAAACAAACGCGATGACAGACAGACAGTTTGAAGATAGAACGGCCATAGCAGCATGACAATTATCCAAGATTTCTAACTGATGTAAACGTATGCTAGCATAAGTGATGGCGTCAAAATGTGTTATTTAGGCAACTCAACATGTTTTTGAATGATCTTGTCAACGTGTCATAGTTTTTCAATTAATGTATTTTTTGTACGTGGGCCGTTGGTCTTTGTACCGAAATAAGAAAATAAACTCTACTGATGGTCGTCGAAAGCTACTGGTAGAAAGATTGAATGAAACACATCTACATATATCTATTTTCCCAAACGCCAACTCTCTGTCATCACAAAAGTATTCAAAAGATAAAAAGACATGTATTTTAACATACAATGCCTGGATCAGTGGTGTCCTTGTAACGTGAAATGCCTTTTAACGTTGAATGGTCAGGCAGAGCTCCGTGGTGGACAGTGGTGTCTTGGCTTTATTATTTATAAATTAAAGCAGAAACATAAACTTTTCAACTCAACTCGATGATCGTTTCCGGTGATCGAACCATCCCGTAATCGATACTGTGGTTACAACGTTTGACTTGGCAGGATGGCTGATAAAAGAGGGCGTAGATCGGTGTTAATGCAATCAACCACGTTGCCAGGCAACCATGATGCAACTGCGGTGTAAAAAATCATTCACTCATTCACTCCTTCGTGTCCACCTGATGTATAATCGGCGAATGCTCTTGATTTTAGACATAGGTACCGTAAGTAGGTCACGGCACTTCGCGATCCTTAGTACTTCCGGTGACAAACAACGTTCTATACCTAGACCGAATGATCTCATGGTTGTCAGTTGACAGTAAGGAATCAATACTCCTTGCAGGGATAACAAATTTCAGGTCTAACCGTTCCCAATTAGCCAGCTATTACGACTTCGTCCGGTCAAGTAAATTCATATCTGGCGGTCGCGCAATTTGGAAACAGAACTAGTATACGCTTGTCACCGGAAATCTGGGACCGAACGTAATCTGTATCCCGTCTCGCATATCGCAATTTGGGAGCCGGGAACCAGCTTAGTACCGGAAGTAGCGCCTCTCGAGACTTACAGGCCCTATTGGTTTGTCTGGTCCAGCGTTAAACCAAATCCACTCATCCAGTCCATATTTGTAAAGACAGACATTTCGTGAGGTACTAACGCCGTCAGACGTTGGTACGAAGTGCTTTATTCTATTTTAACGGCCCATTTCTGGTGTCCCCTGCCGTTATATTTCTGGAATATTGCTAAAAGGGGCGTAAAACCATACTCACTCACTCTATTTAAACGAGACAATGCCAGGTTTTAGCACCACCAGGGATGGACAGACAATCTAACAGCATATTATGAACAAGCCAACCCGTCAATCAAACATAGAGAGTTGTGTGAATCCAAACAGGGTTTTAGCATTATGTAATGAATACATAGAAAGCGATAGCACAAAAATTCAAAGAGTACAGGTACCTAGACCTGAACTTGTATATGTTACTGTGCTAATGCCATTCTGTCTCTCTGCGTTTAGAGGAGGCAGTGGGGTAGCCTCGTGGTTAAAACGTTGGCTCGCTACACCGAAGATCCGGGCTCGACTCCTCACATGGGTACAATGTGTGAAGCCCATTTCTGGTATATTGCTGGAATATTGCTAAAATCGGCGTAAAACAAACTCACTCAACGTTCTGTATAGTGTAAAAATACTGCATATAAAGAAAGTGAGTGAGTGAGTGAATATTGCAGCTATTCGCGGCGAGCATATAAAGAAACCGCATGGTTTCATTTCACAGTTCAGCGTGGAGAGGCCCGTAAGAATAGTGGGTCATGGCTACTATACAAATATACCCTGTATAAGCTGAATGAATATAAAGAAGTATCCTTCCCATCAAACCTTTCGCATTGCCATCAACCGTCATGTCATGGTCACGTGTCACAGATGTTCATCTGACACACCTCAAACATTTCTTGATCATTAAGCCTGACAATGCATGTAAAGTGTATTTACCATTGCAGACTGGGCTAGGCAGAAGGGAAAATAATGCGGTTCAGGGACTGAACAAAATCAAAATTATTTTAAAAATTCCCAACACAAAGCACACATGCATCACGGTGAATTTGTCTTGTTTTTCATTTTTAGGAAAGAGATCTCAGACTGATGAATGATTTCGGATGTAAATTCCTTACGTTGTGAATGCATTCATATTTTCACTGTCCAAAGTGTAAGTAGGTGTAAGTAGGTGTACCGTCAACAATGATACCTCTAAGTAGGTTTGACTTGTAAATGACCCATGAAACCACTGGATGAAAGCATGAACAACTTCCACAAACTCTGCAGAGGTAAGGGCGGCATATATTAAAGCAAGATATGCACAAATGTCTATGTATATACCAAAAAGATAATACAGTAGATCAAAGAAAGCCACCTGTGAAGATCCGAGTTAGAATGAGACTTCAGTAACCCATGCTTGTCGTAAAAGGCGACTAACGGGATCGGGTGGTCAGGCTCGCTGACATGGTAGACACATGTCACCGTATCCCATTTTCGTAGATCGATGCCCATGCTGTTAATCACCGGATTGTCTGGTCCAGACTCGATCATTTGCATACCGCCGCCATATAGCTGGAATATTGCAGAGTGTGACGTAAAACTAAACTCACTCACTCATACTAAGCACTAGAAAGTCAGTGAGACAATTGAACTGCCTTTATATCGCTGGTTTCTTTTGTTAGACTGCAAAACCTTCTTAGGAAAGATTTAGCATCTGTGACAATGAAACAATAATCAAGTATATCATTTGAGCAGTTTATCGTTTATTCAGATTTAAAGATCTGGCATCGAAGGTAAAATGTACAAAAACTGTATACACAAACAAGAGTATCCGTCTCAAATAAAAACGTTACAAATTTCCATCAGGAACTCCTTAAATGCTATATATCGGGTTTTTTCAGAAATTTCGTATTTAAAATGCATTATTATGCATTTCTTACAAAAAGTACTAAACTACTTTCAGAAGACACCAATATATACTTCATCGTGCCATGATTTGATGACAGACATGGTTCTTAGTAATAACAAATACTACAAAAATATATTTTTATGACATCGTCGGGAGATGTGATGATGCGATTAGAACATCCCATGGTGTTCTTCATACTGTAGGCAACAGGTTTGTTTGCACCGACATAACAATAATATAGTTGTATGTAGATATGTTTGTAGATAAGAGAACATACCTTACTATCAATATAGCGTAAACATATCATGATAACAAAATAAAAACATGTGTGACATATACAAGTAGCTGTACAGTGGAATCTTGGTAAATCGATGTCATTTGTTTTATGTGGTGGTATCAAATTAAATCAGTTGTTTCGAAATATGGTTTAAGGTTTGTGGCAAGCTTACTGAGGCTCCACCGACCTGAAAATATAGGCAAAGCAGCATCTTTGCACTGGACACACTCGAGGTGCTGCTAATGGTATAAGCATTGTATTTAAAAGTATAAACAGCGGAATGCCAAAACACACCAAGTTCACGCGGTAGCAACCGAAAAATAGATTATCTCCCTTTGATGAACATGTCTTAAAGGGAGACAATTTATGGTACCATTATTTCGGGCAATATTTGACAGCCAATTCAAGTTCTAAACTCTAGTAAGTATGATCGTTTTGTTACTGGAAACCTTTTTCATACGTGACAAGCAAGGTTTCAAATAAACCTTGTAGAAATGGCTAGATGAACACAATGTGCAAAAACTAAGCCTAAAATAATTCACTACACTGTTCAAAAGACTCAGAGAAGCAGAGCAAGAAGTTATTTCAAAGCATATATTGGTAGATCAGCATTACACAACAGGAATTACATCAACCAAAATGTAAAATAATATACATATTTCGTAAGATCTCAAACAATAAGAAAAGAAATATATACATGTAACAAGACATTATATAACTGGAAGTTAATTGAAAAAAAGAGGATGATATTCAATGTACCCCTGTTAAAAAGTAAGGTACAAAGTTACATATTACATTCGGGAAGTGTCACTGTTTTCCTACAATGGAAATTTCGTTTGCTTCTTGCAACGATTATTTACAGACCACCGCCATATAGCTGTAATATTGCTGAGTGCAGCCTAAACTAAACTCACTCACTAACTCACTTGCAATACTTTACAATCTTAGCATAACGTGTATAGGCATCGCTACAGTATTTTACAGAAGTTACAGGCTGGGTTAGATGGAATATATGTACCAAATGAGTATTGATAATCCTTCTTCCACAAAATACGACAGCTATTTGAAGCATTTGCTTGACAGTTGGAAGACGTGGTTTAGAGTGCAAACGTGCACAGAAGTCTCTTCTTCGTGTCATTCACTGTGACATGGCTTACATATTGCTGCAGGTGGCTAAAAACCACATTTACTCACTCTCCCGTACAGCCCACTGAGAGGTGATATCCACGTCTCCCAGCCTACTTGGTGTGACAGAGGGGACAGCATTTATCATTGTCCTTGTAACAAGTTTTACAAAAGTCAGCTTGGCACCCTGAACTTTTGCACTGCCAACCATTTTTGGTCTCTTCTTCACACTGCACACAGTTAACCTTTGCCACCTTCTTGAAACAAGGTAATCGAGACCAACATTGTGACTTCTTCGATTCGTTCTTTGCTTTGACCTCAGTGGGCTTGACCGACCGGTCCGACATCATCTTCTTGAGATCGTCCATAAAACTATGCCGCTTTACTTCAATTAGTCGATATAGGTACACCACTCGTGCAGTTTCTTGCTCAGGGTAATAGAAAGCTGCAATCTTATGTCGCAACCGTAGCCCATATGCTTGCAATACTACAAACGCTATGGCCAGGAAGTACAGAACAAGAAGCACGTAAAGACTGTTCTGATCAGGAACGCTTGGCTTTGGCAGGCACTTTTGAATATCAAGAGAACTGTCGTAGCTCTGCTCTATATTGAAGCCAGAGATAAACGTTTTGAAGATATTTGTCAACAGACCAGACCCTTCAACTTTCAACTGGATTTTGGACATTCCCGATAATGTGAACTCAAAGCGACCATGTTTATTAATCAGATACAGAATGTAATAGAACAGGTAATCAAACAGAACTAATAAGGCTGCAATAAGCACATGCATCAGAACTGTCACCATGCCATTCCTCCAAGTGCGGAATTCTGAAGGTGAGAGCCGAAACGAAGTTGAGTCAATGTATTTCTTCTTTTCGTGCCTCTTCAATGGTAGCAGTTCCTTCACCTTGTTCTGCTGTCTCGATGCATCAAGCGCCTTCAGCTGTCTCGTTAGGTAGATGTTGTCAAATCGGAGGTTGGATAAGTAATTCTTGCTGTAGAGAAATGCTTGAATCAGGACCAGTGTAATCACTAAAGACAATACTCGGTTGATCACGTTGACAACAAAGTACGCCACATCGAGTTTTTCTTTAAGGTCCGTTCTAATACCATCTAAGATATCCGAAGCGCTTCTAGACGAGTTGGCATTGCCTGATACTACCCCTACGTTTTTAAGTTGGAATTTGAAGAGTCCTTCTACCTTTCTTATTTCAGTCAAAATCTTCTTTATTCCGTCAGTTATGACGTTGTCTGCCAATGACAGTGGTGAACAGAGGTCGATGTTTTTGAGTCCATTACACAATTCCCCAACTTTAAGGACACTGCATATGTCATCCGCTATGGCTCTTGTATGTCTGTAATAAAATATAAAAATTCTTAAACATTTCCGAAAAAATGGAGTGAAGGGTGTACTGACACATTTGTGCATAACAACTTCTAAGTTGCTTTAAGGACGTTTCAGGGCTACTTCCTGCCTTTCCATAGGTAACTGAATGCTGATGATGTGAGTGTTTATTTCAACGCACATCTGCCACGACTAAGACATCAATTACAATTTCAAGAACCATCAGTTCACTCCTTATTACACCAATATAATAACATTCTTTAACCCTGTCTGATCATGTCCTGCGTTTGGATGTCACGTATTATGGACATGACCATGAAACCATTTACGGACATTATATATTTATAAGTGAACTGTGTGAGGACCAAATATCTTAGTAGTTTGTTGATCATCATACCTGCTTTTGATAGGATCTGATTCCACGTCTCGTTTCCTGCGAAAGATAAATCCTTTCAGACCACCTTTGATTTTATCCACTACACTACCAGGATTCAGTTTATCTGTAATCGATGAAATCTCCCGTCGACAGGACCGCTCAGCACCACTTAGGACATTGGCACACTTGGAAAACACAGAACCGTAGGATGCTCTGCAGACCTGATGAATAAAACACATCTTTTTAGTAATCAAGTATACACACTACTCTCAAAGCAGATGAATGATAATAATTGTCCGGAGTATATATGCACGGGTTCAATGTCATCCCCACGTACTTGGGATCATGAGGATTGCGGTAATTGAACTTCCTATATGAGAGTACATCAGGATTTGCGTCATCACTTTAGCTACGGGTCGGTGTACGGAATAGGGGCCAATATCTAAAGATTCTCAGCCATGAGCTGGCTTTAAACACTGTTGGATGATAATTAGATCGCCTGGATGAACTTTTACATTTCATAAAAGGATCAAAACCATGGACAAAACCCCTTTGTGTAAAGGTACATATTTCAGAGAGGGTTTCACTATACACAAAAAACAACAATTTTCATGCTATTTTGTTACTAGTCTTAACAGACGAAAGCTGCCACAATGCTCCATTTTGGGGGACTGAAGTGCAAGCATAGGATTATATAGGGATCAATAACTGTTTGAATACCTTCAATAGACAGATTTGTTTATAAACTTACCCTCGTGGCTTTCTGAAAAGCATTTGCTGCCTGGTCTAGTCCACCACTGACAGCAGAAAATCCTTGCTTAAGCCCACCGAAAGCTGCACTGATCTTGTCGGTTATTTCTCTAATCCGACTGGCGGTGTCGAGGAGAGTGTCCTGGACCTGCTTCAGTGGCTCCTCAAGCCTCTGTTGCAACATCTGACTCTGGTTGTAGGCCAGCTCAGTGATGCACGCCATTGTGTCAGCAACCTGAAACATATGTTACTTGTTGTATGGGGACAGTGGGGTAGCCTAGTTCAAGCGTGAAACAAACGTAAACATTCTTTTGGTCGGTCTTTTAGTCGTAAATTGCTTTTAAAGAGATACCTCATTCTGAATGTCTCGTAAATTTTGGGGCAGTTCGGTACCCAAATGGTTAAAGCATTCGCTCGTCACTTCAAAGACCCGGGATCGACTGCCCATATAGGCGTAATGTGTGCAGCCCATTTCTGGTGTCAATAGCCGTGATATTGTTGGAATATTGCTGAAAGCGGAGTAAAACCAAGCTCACTCACTCACTAGTTGCATGTTTGACATCAATACACTAAAGTTACATTTCTAGCCCAACAATTTCGCGTTGCAACGACTTCATTGTTATCGAGGGTTTTGACATGGATACTCTAAATTTGCATCTTTAACGCATGATTTCACCTTATTACAACAATGTGTAACTCAACATTACCCAAAATCGGTTCATGCTATGCGCTAAGGATGATAGCATCAACTCTTCTCACTGATCAGAATCAGAGTTTGAACTTACTTCATTCGTATTATTAACGATGTTGGTAACCGGTCCCATCAGAAGCAAGCCACCAATGATGGACAAGAACGCCGCACGACCCTTGCCCGTGAAGATACTGACACTCATCAGAGCTGTCACACACCGAGCCCGGACTGACACAGCGAGTAGAACACACATGACAAGAGTTGCTGCCCCTGCTATCCCTCCTGCAACACTGTAGCTGTACTGGAAGCTGAAGCGGAGGGCAACAAACAGTCCACCTCCCAGGAGGATGCCGACAAGCACTCCTAAAGCAGCTTTTATCCTCCTGTGCTCATCGCTCCTGCTTTTGAAAAACCTCTTGCCGAGTTTCCCCAGTGTATTCGAGCTTGCTGACTGTTTCTCCTCCGTTCCCGTCTTACGGTCGGTGGCGTCATTTGCGTTGGCGCCATCCTTGCTGTCGTCTCTTTTTGTAGGAGAGTTCAAACTGAGAATTTGAAGGCTGATATCTGAAACGGCCTTCCCGTTGTTACTGTGAACAAACAAGCAATCACATTGACATACATATTTTTTCTTATTTTTATACTTATGCATTTATTTATTTATTTATGTATTATATTTTGGTATTTTTGGAATTTTAAACACTCGGGATAACCCAGGTAAACTGAATATGATGCTATGATTATAAATAGTGATGCTATGATTATAAATAGAAAACTGTAAATAATCAGATTAAATACCGTCTGTTTTTGTTTGTTTTGTTTTTGGGGGTTTTGGGGGCTGTGGGGTTTTGGGGAGGGTGGTTTTACACAATCTTACTCGGTCAGCGCAGATGGTCGTCCGTGCAGTGAACAATTCAATTACATTAAGTAAGACAACTCGGCACTACTTCTCAGTCTAGACCAGATAATACGGTGATTAATAGTATGAGCAACATTCACACGGTCGTGCTTTGATGACACCAGGTCATCATGGACATGCTAATACCCAAGCCCTGTTTGATGGGAACCCCCATCACAAGGGCTTGTATATATATATATATATAGAGAGAGAGAGAGAGAGAGAGAGAGAGAGAGAGAGAGAGAGAGAGAGAGAGAGAGAGAGAGAGAGACAGAGAGATAGAGTACATACCTTGGTGCCCCTTTTTTGGGTTAAAACCCCCTGTGTACTCTATAGGCTCTAGAAACTTTGTAAATGAAACCATTTCTTTTGTAGCCAGATGTGTATATAGAGAATACTACACGAGGTCTCATTACATACGAATTATACGAAACGAGTGTCCTTCCTATTGTATCTGACCGAGCGAAAGCGAGGTTAGATAACATAGGAAGGTCACGAGTGTGGTATTTTATTTATTATGCACGTCTTACATGCATTAAATTGACAAAATAGCGTATTTTTCTTATTTTTTTGTTTCAAACCGAAACCGGTTTCATAAAGAGGTTGTGGAAGAGTTTTGTACTGTAATACAATATTTGCATGACGTCACACTGTAATGACGTCACTGCCTTGGTAACAGACGTCAGGATGCATGTCAGTTGCCATCGCCTCGTACAGCCTCCTACAGTAAACTGCTCCGTAGCACCCCGTTTCTTGGTTTGCAGTTGCTTCACTCGGCTATCATCACTGGTGGAAACTTCGCGTTTATGTTTTTCGACGCATATAATGTCTCAGTTCAACTCACAATTAAACAGCGATACGGCAACGTTCGCAATATTTACACTCCCACAATGCATATAAGTTGTAGAATGAATGAATTCACGTGTTTGTTATGAATGAACAAGTAGTTCCGTCACAACGTGACCTAACTGAGACGTCATCGGTTATCCAATCAAATCGTTAGAATCTCAGGTCAAGTCGTTACGACACAGGTCAACGCGATACGACACTCGTGTGACGTACGAGATTAGTATGTAACTACCCATACGTTGACCACGTGTGTAATAAATCATATTATTACCCACGTGGTCAACGTATGGGTAGTTGCATACTAATCTCGTATGCTAAACAAAATTCTTCCGCAACCTCTTTATGAAACCGGTTTCGGTTTGAAACCACAACGATACCAAAACTACGCTATTTTGTCGATTTAATGCATGTAAGACGTGGGTAATAAATCAAATACCACACTCGGTCTCATTACATACGAATTATACGAAACTCGTGACCTTCCTATGTTATCTGACCTCGCTTTCGTTCGGTCAGATACCATAGGAAGGACACTCGTTTCGTATAATTCGTATGTAATGAGACCTCGTGTAGTATTCTCTATTTATTACCCACGTGGTCAACGTATGGGTAGTTACATACTAATCTCGTACGTCACACGAGTGTCGTATCGCGTTGACCTGTGTCGTAACGACTTGACTTGACATTCTAACGAGTTGATTGGATAACCGATGACCTCTCAGTTAGGTCACGTTGTGACGGAACTACTTGTTTATTCATAACAAACACGTGAATTCATTCATTCTACAACTTATATGCATTGTGGGAATGTAAATATTGCGAACGTTGCCGTAACGCTGTTTAATTGTGAGTGGCGTCATTTGCGTTGGCGCCATCCTTGCTGTCGTCGCTTTTTGTAGGAGAGTTCAAACTGAGAATTTGAAGGCTGATATCTGAAACGGCCTTCCCGACGTTATATGCGTCGAAAAACATAAACGCAAAGTTTCCACCAGTGATGATAGCCGAGTGAAGCAACTGCAAACCAAGAAACGGGGTGCTACAGAGTAGTATAATGTAGGAGGCTGTACGAGGCGATTACAGCTGACATGCATCGTGACGTCGGTTACCAAGGGGGCAGACGAGCAAGGCGTAGTGACGTCATTACACTGTGACGTCATGCAAAAAAGTGTACTACAGAACAACATTCTTCCGCAACCTGTTTATGAAACCGGTTTCGGTTTGAAACCATAAAAATAACAAACATACGCTATTTTGTCAATTTAAAGCATGTAAGACGTGGGTAATAAATAAAATACCACACTCGTGACCTTCCTATGGTTTCTGACCTCGCTTTCGCTCGGTCAGATACCATAGGAAGGACACTCGTTTCGTATAATTCGTATGTAATGAGACCTTGTGTAGTATTCTCTATGGATGATATAGTTTGAAAGTCAAATGTTTATTCTCAACAGTCCTTGCAAATATAATTTCGATAATCACCGTCCTTTGATTCCGTGTATATGAAAAGTTAGATGTAATAATTCTGTGCTGCTGACGTTGCTCTATAATCATAACGTGCATAAATATTTTACCCTTTCTTCCCCTTTGGTTTGGTTTTCTTTGGCTTTTCTTCCACGTATTGCCGGGAAACACACCAGTCTTCCCACTACGTTTATTCAAACCAAGACACCAGCCATTACCAAGGTCTTCAACATTCGTTATGACGTCATCAATCTGCAAGGAAATCTCGTCCTCCTTCTGGTTGTCATACGGGTACTTCGCCACGTACATGGTGAACTACAGGGCCTGTGAAATAAGAGAACGCAGATTACCAACCCCGTCTTGGATGTTGAGAAGAATGGGTGATACTACGTGTGGGTCCGTTAATCGTTATCGTTAGTTCCTGGTGTTATGGGATTATATACAATCAGTTTGTTCGTCCCGATTTCCTCCTAAAGAAACTTGCAAATGGTTAACGGAATTTACGACACGTTTGAATAGGTGCCACTGAAACAAGTAACAGAGTTTTCGTTCAAAAATCGATAGAAGTTGTGTTTGTTTGTGTGTTGTTTTACGCCGCACTCAGCAATTGTCGATACATGTTTCTATTGCCTTAACATTTATCGACCAGTGTTTCCTCCATAAGTGGTGGTTCGTGAAAGACAGTAACCTAAAGTACAGTTGGGCATGCTACTTCCATTTTGGCATGCCGGTAACTTTTGATTGTGGGTTCGAACCCGGTATTGGTCCTGTTTATGATCCAAGGGTTTTCAGCTCTATTTTCGACTTCGATTTATTAACAAAAGTGGTAAACAAATCATGACCATGTGTCATTTTGACTTTCTTCCCATATCAACTCATATCGTTGTAGTGAGATTTTGTATATCCGATATTCTTATTAATCACTTCCTGTAAATTTGAATTGACAACTATCATGGCATCGCCATAGCAGCAAAATCGTTCATTTGTCAAAGTAGGTTTACAACAAACTCAAAATGTTATTACTCAAAACAGGCATGTTTTAACAGTATGAACAATGTTGCTTTCAGTTTATTCCGTTTCAGATCCTACACCATCATTTACTACTACGCGATTACCTCCCTTGCATACTGAATTTGATAACCATGGGTTTTCTATTCTCAAAGGAATGATGTATCAGGGCGCGGTCATGGAAATCGTCTGTTTGAAACTAGTTCCGTTAAGCGCCTGGACACTGCTGTCTGATTTGTTAATGTCGACTCGGTCAAAGCTTGCTAAAGGTCGCGTAACTTGAACAGTAATGTAATATGGGGTAGTGTGAGTGAGTGTGTTTAGTTTTACGCCGCTTTTAACAATATTCCAGCAATATCATGGCGGGTTACACCAGAAATGGGCTTCACTCATTGTGGAGAATCGAACCCAGGTCTTCGGCGTGATGAGCGAATGCTTTAACCACTAAGCTATCCCACCGCCTCGTAATGTAATGTAATCAGATCTCTGTATAGCGGTAACAGTCACAGAGATGTTTTAATGGGGTTGTTCATTTCAGGTTTTAAAAAAACAACTGAACGACACACATCACATCGGGAATTCTAGAAATTCGCGAGTAAATCAACGAAGCATTCGACTTTATGGATACCAATATTGCTTATTGCATATTTATTGCAAGATTTTTATAATTTATGCTTTGGCCGTTCTGACTATGTTGTATGTGGCCATTTTGAACTGATATAGAGATGTTTCTCCTCCCATTTTACACTTGACCTTGCAAACAAGAAGAGCCATATTCAGTTTCCTAAAAAGCCCAGGATATATGAACACTCACTTACTCACTCACTCAAATTTCACCCACTCACCCTTTCACTCACTCACCGTCTCACTCACTCACTCACTCACTCACTCATACCAAACGCGGCACTCGTACGCACACGCCATACATGCCACACAAAACAATCCTCGCCACACGTAACACACACGGAAACAAATTTGTGAACCGTTTAGTCAAACGCTGGATGTAAGTATCTAAATGCTCTTACGCTTTGCAATATGATATAAATTTGTGCATATTGATATCAATGTTGAGTTGATAGGCCCAGCCTAAATAGTTCCTTGTGATGTTTCCAGGGCTGATTTAATCACAACGCCTATACTTGTCTGACATACTCACGTTTTATTCAATCAACAAGTGGGTGTCACAGCAACCACATAACCGTGGGCTGTCTTCATTCATGTTAATAACATCAGATACCGAGATAATTCATTTACACTGATGAAACGCCATACAGACGTTACTGGTGATGACGCTACAGCCATAGAGGTCGTTCCACGCACTCGGTCTAACTGTAAACATTGTATTAGCTGTCTCATTGCGTGTTTATTTAATTA